CAGTGAAATAAACGCTTTTGAACTGAACAGTGAAATGAACTGTTACACCACCACACGCAGGAAAGGAAGCAAACTGGTGGTTTCCCCAAGCTACTGCACTAGCAACAACATTGTCTTTGAAGTACTTGGTATTTCAGGTCCCTATCTGCTAAAAGTACTACATTATGCTGTGGCAAACCTCTATAACCTTATGGTTCAAACATATATGCCTGTCATACTGAATTCCAGACACTCTTCAAGGTCACCAAGGACCACTGAAATTGCCTCTGCCTCCCTTGGGCCCTGCCATGTCAGTACTAAATCTGCCCTGTGCAACTCCAGCCCAGATGCCCTCTGTCACACTGGCTATGGCAGACAATGTGCTGGAGAGATGGGACACTCCTCATGGCTTCTGAGGGTCATGGTTAGCAGATCATCAGCCCTTGTGTGAAAAAGGCCTCACTGTTACTAATTACTTCAACTAATGCTTAATCGAAGCCACTACAAAGCAAATTGCAAACAAGCATTAAATCACCTTACCTAAAACAGTTGCAAGTGTTTTACCCAAGACACAGACTAAAAAATGAAAGAAAACCTAAGCTGAATCTGTTTATACTAAGGCTACCTCAGAAAGGTTTCTCCCTCATTGATAGGCCATTTCCCACCTGATAACACTGTTGTCAAGCTTTTAAGGTTGCATACATGTCTTCTCTTCTTTAGCAGGTATCCTTCCCATATCCTTCTCAATCATATCCTTCTGCAACAACACATACAGCAGAACAATACAAAAACCCAAATATGCAAGGGGGCTAACTGCATGAAACACATTAGCAGCTCTGGTTCAAGACTGAACGTCGCTGTCACTAATAAGCTGGAGGTGCTCATCTCCAGTCTCCTCAATTTATGCAGGCTACACAATCAACAAAAAGCAGCGGAGTCACCAACAAATGATGATCTTTCTGTTACACCGCACAGGTCAAATTCTTCATTAGTTTAATAAAAACCCCAAGCTTCCAATATTGTTATGCTGAGAATAAAATCTCATTTTATCCAACTATAACTGATCACAGGTTATTCAAACCTTCAGAATACAACAGAAAAATATTGATAAAGAATAAAACCACATCCTTTTACCTTTTCTTATTAAAGGAAAAAACCCACAACCTAACCACCCCATCAGTAAAGCTTCCACAGTTCTCCGGACAGGACTTATAAACACTTATAAAACAAATTTCTCCACTTATAAACAGTGTTAAAACAGTATTTCTCAGCCCACACCCTTGCTATAGTTTCACCATCTCATAGCTGTACCCATCTAACTAAATGCAACTTCCACATGCAAACAAACCAAATGTGTGTATAAACCCAACTAACCACAATGCAACTTTCAACTTCTTTCACTTTTTCAGTGGTCCCCTTCACAGCTGCATAAGCATAACCGAGAGATGAAGAACAAGCATCTGGCAGAAGGCATAAACCTTTAAGAGCAACCATGTCACTGCAAAACAAATCAATACAAACTCCACAGGCACCTAATTAACAATTCTCTTACTCTGTGAGCTGCTGGAGAAAATAGGAGCAGAAACATCTGCTGGCCTTGCTTTTCAGAAAAACGGGGAGAAGTCCAAACAGTAACTCTGGGTTAGAGGGCAGCATCAAGATCCTAATCCTAATTAGATCAGCACAAGTTTGCCATATATATATGTTCAGGGGTTAGTGCCCCTCTCAAGACACCTGCCCCCACAAAAGCAAGCTGAAAGATGGGGTCAGGGAGGGAAGCTGTCAGGAAACTTTAGCATTATTTTTAATTGTCATATCTCTGCACAAAGGGATCACACTAATGATGTCATACATCCTTATAGAAAAAAATCCCTAAGGTATACCAGAAACCCTGTGAAGTGCAACTTCAAACATTCGGACAAAACTGGCTTGCTCTTCATCATGAATACTGAGTCAGACTTCTTTGCTCCTTAGTAAGTTGGGGTGTGGCTTATTAATCACTAAAAAAAAAATCTGAAACAAAAGAATTGTTTCAAAAACAGTTCCCAAACCAGCCTCTCCACAATGACAAGTTCTGTAAGATACAGAATGCTATGAGCAACTTGGCTAGAACATGCTGAAGTACCAATGCATGCAGGCAGGTCCTGTAGGAGGCCCAACCTGTCAAACCTCAGCGCTGTGAATTAACAGGAGGATCTGCATCACAGAGAAGACTGTTCTGTTCCTCCACATTATTTTCAAATGTCTTAGTTCAGCATTAGGGATCACTCCTTTCCCTTGACTATTTACCCTCAGCAAACAAAGATACTGCCTTCTGGTAAAAAGCCTTAATTGCAGTATGAACTGAACTGATGGATCTTTAAACATGCTTTAAGTAAGGCAGCTTGATTCTGGCTTTTAACTGCTGAAGGAAGAGACCAGCTCACACAGTTAACAATCAGTTTGGACAAGACACAGAAAGAAAGCATGTCTCTCAGCATGCCACGAGCTGTATACAGGAATGATCAAAGACAGGCAACATGCAACAGAAATGGTACAATAGCTGACTTTTTATCTCTGCTTTAAATGTTCTGACAAGAAGTTTTGTGATATTCGGTGACTGGATTTAGAAACCCTTAAGACAATCTGTATGTGTTCACATCAGGAAGACTACAAACACCAAAACAGCTAATGTGAACTCACAGACAGAATCTATTATCATCTTGCAAAAATGTTCAGAGAGCTATTCATTGAAAATGCCAGCTTTCCACCGTGTCAACCATGAATTTATGTTTAGCTAGTAAAAATGCTTTTCCCTGAAATGCTGAAACATTTCAGGTCTCATCAGAAAAGTAAAGTAATGAACAGAAGTACTTTAAAAGACTCATATGTCAGGAGCAGGACTTGGTTTTCAAATAAGGGTTTGGTAAAAAAAAATTATTTTTTTCTACTGGAACAGTTTTATGTTGCAAAACTGTTCATACAGCATGGTTTACTTCCTACACAGAAATAACCATAAAATGATGTTACAATACAGTAACTACATGCTTATTATACTTCCACAGTAATAGATGGTTTTGTGTTTATTAATGTAAAAGTACATTTAAAGCAGTACAACATATTTCTGTAGGTAATGGCAGGATATTTATGGTGGAGCACATTAGCTGGATTCTGCAAGACACTCATCAGGGTATGCTAGAGACCTGCTTGACCAATTATCTTTGAAACTCATGATGGGACTCGGCCCAAGGTCAAAGACAACCAATCAACTCCTTCATTCAGCTACTTGAGTATAATATGGAGTATGAGCAACAACAGAAAATATATAAAAGCAAATCATCTGCATTGAACAAGACAGTGGCACCAGACTGTTTGGTGAACAGAGCTGGAACTTTGGCATGTATTTGTTCAATTGCTCAGCTGGCATTTATGTTCTGGCAGAGTAAATAGCCTGGTATAAAATTTTTGCGAATATACTAATAAGCTGAGTAACTTTGCTAGGACATTCAGTTCCAAGTAGTGCAGAGTTAAACTGATCTCTTGTTTCAGAGAGATGAAACTTCACTGGACTAAGAATCAGTGCATTGTCATGCCAGATAAGGTATATTCTTGAAAAGTTATATCCAGTTAAATCAAACTCCTTTTTCAATTCAAACTGGGGGAAAAAAGCGCTTTTTAAAATTATTTTTATATAATTGTATAAATATAATGAAGTGGCTTAAGTTGGCAACACCGTACATAAGAAGGCAACGATAATACCAGAGCAATGCCTGAGGTAAACAAGGTCTGTAAAAATGTTCAGATGTTACCAATAATTTTGCATTAATTCAAATGATTCTTTGATGAAAGACTGTAATGCTAAATAAGCATGGGAAAAGTTGGCAGTGTTGTGGTGCAATCACACCACATGGTCTCATAAATCTACTTTGTTGATCTTGTTATCGTATACTCCCGTTGCAAATAAACTGAAAAACAGATGCTTTCCCACTCCCATTAGAAGAAGGAAGAAAGACAGTTCCTAAAAAGCAGGGAAGAACCAGAGTAATAGAACAGCAACGCTGGAACAAAAGATGCCTTGCTCTTCTGCAGAAGAGCCTATCCTTCCCCTCTACTCCACCCTAGTGAGGCTGTGTCATGAGTGCTCTGCCCAGTTCAGGAAAAGCAAGAAACTACTGGAGAGGATCCACAGAGGGCTATGGAGATGACGAGGGGACTGGAACACTATTCTTACAAAGGAAGGCTGAGGGAGTTGGGATTGTGCATCTGGAGAAGAGATGACTGTGAGGGCGAGTGCCTACAGGATAGAGCCAGACTCTTTTCAGCAGTGCCCAGTGACAAGGGTCAACTGGCACAAATAGGAAGTTCCATGTAAGTTAAGAGGAAAAACGTCTTTCCTTTAAGGGTGACAGAGCACTGGAACAGGCTGCCCAGAGAGGCTTCGGAGTCTCCTTCTCTTATAACCTGGATATGATCATGTGCAACCCGCTCCAGGTGAACCTGCTCTAGCAGGGAATTAGACTAGATGGTCTCCAGAGGTCCCTTCCAACCTCAACTATTCTTTGATTCTGTGATTCATGATCAATTTGCTCTTCTCTCCTACTAAAAGTACAATATGGTTCTACAAAAGTGCTCACAAATTAAGCCACAGGTAAAAGCAGAGAGGAAAGCACAATGGCCACAATGAGAAACCGTTGCCACATTTACTCAGGTTATGCATTTCAGCACTCCCGACTTTCACGTTATTACCACAGGATGGCCTACATTATGTAAGAGTTGTAAAACCGTACGCTACTTAAATATTTTGAGTCCTTAAATGACACTTTGCATCATGAATAACATACTTGAGCCATTTATCTACTTGCACCAAGTAGATAAAAAGTGTTCTCAAGCTCCAACAAGAACTTCCAAAATTTTTCTGATGTGATAGCAAGATAACAAGAGCATCCTATCAGGTGTGACAGATAATTCCTATAGTAAAAATCTCTGTGTGTGGGCATGTACATTTGTACACAAGAGATATAAACAAGAATGACCAGGGGGTATAAGAAAAGCAAACCCATTCAGATAAACAAGTATTTTTCATAAAATAAATTTACCTGAGACTCCAGCTCCTCCAATTTACGCTTCCTGGCATGAAGAGCTTTACTTGGAAAAGCCCAGAAATAATTGGAAGTTCCAATTCTATCAGTGTCCACCATGCCATCATCAACTAGGCTTTGCAGAATCTCTTTCACTGACATCGAGGCTAACACAAGCAAAAATATCAAATTAGAACTGCACAGCATCTAAACTACAGAGAATTATGAGTACACAAGCTACCATCTGTAATCATCTGTATGAGTATTTTACTCTAATGTCAGCTAGCTGGAAGGTTTCAAGAGGACACCCACCATTCCAGAAGGTTCCCTTGAAAGCACGAATCTCTTTGAAATCAGCAGTTTGTTCCTAAAGACTGCTATTCTGCACATCTGCTAACAGTTGTTTGCAAAACACCACTCATGAGTACCATACAACAGGTATGCATATTACAGCACAATACCATAACAAACCCATGAGAGGTACTTGAAAAGTTGTCTTGCAATCTTAATTCTAATATGGATTAATTTAACATTGCTTGATTAGGAGTGTAATTACATTTCACTTTGTAATGCTTACCAAAGCATTTAACAGCAGAAGAGGTACTAAAGCCATCTGTCTACAGACTCAGGAGGCACAGATTCTACTTCTGATTTTGCTAAGTTCCAATACAGAAAGTCATGTGATGTTACAAGGACCCAAAGGGTTTCTGAACATAATTGATCATTTTCTAGCCAATCTGTAATATAAATTACAATTTTAAAAAATGATGTCTGTTAACAAAGCAAAATAGCTGTATTATCCTCAAGTGTTGCAGATATAAAGAATTTTGAGCTCATTTATGGTTTTTGGTATCTGATGTTCAATTTCAAGCCTAAAAGGGATCCCAGATCAAGATCCATGTTTTGGAAGAAATAGGTTGGATGCCAGGATGGGGCCTTTCCACAGGCTAGTCATTTTTTTTTTTTTCAGAGTAACTGGGGCTTGGGCTGTGCAGCTAAATGCCTTCATATTCAGAGGCTGGATGAATTGGGATTATTCAAAGACGTTAATGGTCTTAGAAACTCTACACTTGATTTTTAAATATTAAATTCTACTGCTTGCATTTACCACAAATTACAGTTGAATATATGCATTTGCTAACCAACCAAGACAGCACCACGTCTTTTCAGAAGCCCATGAGTGCCTGTAAGCTGCTGACACAACTGAAAATCTCTGCTTTGTGATATTCCCATCTGCAGTTCTTTCAGCAAGTTAATTTACTCTTGTAGTGCCACCAAGATATGCCAGTCAAGGACAGTAGCAACCACACAAACATTCTGCTTTGCTCCCCTTTTGTCAACGAACATAGAAGGAAGAAGAACGAGGAACACCTAAAACAACTCAACAGCGTAAGATAAATCCTCTTGGACCTAATCCTAAACCAGTGGATCTCATTAGGAAGGCTTTCTTTGAAAAGACAAACTCCTTCCATCTACAGCTGTCCAGCCATTTTTGGAGGGCAATAGCTCAACAGAACACTGTCGGTGTATATTTGGACTAGCGTTTTAAAACATTTGTGACGCTACAGACAGGTATTTAAAACCTGAGTGCATCTAATGATTTCATACACTGAAAGTCGCTGCAAGTCAGGCAACTTAGAGCCTAAGAAAGCCCTCATCCCATGTCACTTTTAACCCTACAGCCCTGCCATTGACCAGTTTCCCATTCTAGCTATTATTTCCATTATTACAATATTTCCAAAATTACAATTTCCATTATACACAAGCCTAAAATTGTAGCCAGGAAAATTTACGCTATATGACCTGCCCCAAAAACGACTGATGGCTCAAAAGAAATAACTTTCATAAACACTTACTAATCCCTTTTTCTTTTGGAGCAATCTTCTCTATATCCTTCAACTGGAACACATCTTTCTGCGCAAAACATGAAAGACAATTTAGTTCCAAATGACAGCATCATCTAAGCCTGAGTGTTTCTTACATTAAATCAATGCCAACAATACCAAGTAGGAAATACACTGTATGTTTCAGTTTTGCTAGGGAAATAGGTTGCATATTCATCAACAGAACTGGAACATTCTCGAGAATTAAATAATAAGAAAAATACTATTATTGTAACAAACCCTGCTCTTTCCTTTGGAACTCTAAAGTCACATATTTTGCCTTGTTAGACCATAAAACCCTTAGGGCACACAGAGCCCTGGTTAGACTGCCAGCACCAGATGAACCACACTGTTTAACTACTCAAGTGTCACAGTATTTTTTTTAATAGGTGAAACATGGTGGATTACATATGCCACCAACACAACTGTAGCTCTGCTTTTGTATCTCCAGGTCTCTACCCCCAAAGGACTTCTTCTAGGTCTGCTCTCAGCTTTTCTCAGATTTCCTCCTCCTCCCATAAAATGCTGAGATACTTCCTGATCTCCTACTGTCCCTCTTATAGTAACAGACTCGAAATGAGACGATGTGCACAGGTAGCACACGAAGATTTTAACACATCTGTGCATCTTCATGCCTTGGCTCCACCAGGAGATGAGCCACCTGATCAGAAGCTAAATGAAGGAAGCTTTGTCCCTGTAATTTATACACTGATGACACAGGGCAGCAGTGAAATGTATACTGGGATATAGAGTTCATCTGCAGTTAAGCTCCTTTCAGAATATGTTTTCCCACCAATGTAAATGCAGGATGATTACAAGTTACTTACTGTTTCAAAAAAGATCTCCATCATGCGAGCTCTCTTCTCCTCAAAGCTCAGACCTTTTTTCTTGGACTAGAACAAGGAAAAAAACATTCAGCCATTTGAATAATTAACAGCTGCTCAGAATTCAAATCTATTTACCTCTAAGTTATATTCACCATCCTTTAAAATATCTTACCACTAACCCCAGACTTTCCTTCCAAACTTCTTCTTTGCAAATAGTCACTACACCAAGCGCATTCACCTGCAATCTATTAAATGGAGGGACCTACCTTCTAAGTTTGGAGCCAACCTTTCACACAACTCAGTCCAGCTCCAGACTCAGGACTTCTTGACAAACACCAATCCCAAAATGTGTATTTATCTCAAACCCTACACAAATGTTTAATAATCTTTAGAAAAGATAAGAAGGAATATTTTTGAAGTTTTTTTTAATAATTGTTTTCTAGCTTTTAATATACACACAGTAGTTCTGAGATGTAGGCCATTAGGGTTTTTTTAAGGAGACAAAGAGCATTTTGAGGTACATATTTCTTCAAATGTCCTACCAAACTTCATAATTTCAAGGTCATATTTTAAAAGCTTTGCTGCTTTTATTTCTTTTCTCTGCAGTTGTGTGACCAAGCAGTAAATAACATAGGCTGAACTAGAAGCAAAAGCCAGAAATGGCTACTCACAAACTGCTACCAGCAATACCAAACTGGGAAATAGCCTCCTCTGATCACTTTCAGAAATGCTATTTTGACATACCCCTTGTAAAATTAGGATATAAAATATTTCACAGAGAATTGGACTTTTATTAATAGCATTTAGCATAGTCTGCAACAACTTGAAAGCAGCTGCTATAATGCGAATCCAGAAAGTTTCCCCTTGCCCTACTCCCTACTTCACAAGCTGTGTGTGGCTGCAAGAAATTGGGAGGAATAGAAAGAACAGAGGGTGCTGGCAGAAAAAGGTCTCGTTTAAAAAAACCCAAAAGACATACATATTGTTGCTCCTAAGCCAATGGAAGTGGGTATTCTAATAACATGGTGCTTCAAAAAGACATGGTTACGTTTCCTAGTGTTGTCAGAAGGGAGTCCATACCATTTTTACTTGTTAACATCTGCTTCCTTCTTAAATAAATCACACGATAGGCCAGCACAACATTTAAAATGTGCACCAAGAGCAAACCGGCCAGATTGACTTAATTTAAAAAAAAGAAAATGTAAAAATAGCTTACACAGCTACAGTAACAGAGAAAGGAAGAGAAATAATTCAATATTATGTTTAACAAAAGCAGCATTACTATTTTTTTTAAGTGTCCTCCCTTCTGCTCTAGCCAGTGATGCCCAATGTCAGCAACGATGTCACACCTGTCTCTTACGATGTCACTACATGGCAGGATTAAAGCCTGGAGCCGCCACACACATGCGAGTAGGAGCACGAAGGGAAAGCAGAATGACTAACTTCCACCTCCCCGCCTGCCCAAACAGCCCTGACACCGTCAGCAGCCAGGGAAACAAAACCTGCATGGGCACGACGTGGAATAAGAGGCTTTCTGGAAAGCACATGCTCGTAGCGCGCCCCTCGGGCGTCAAGTTTCACGCCCGCCCTCCAACAAACAAACACCAAAGCAACAAATCGAAGAGCGCTCCAGATAAATGCTATTAACTTCCACGTCGATTTCTCCCTCCTCCCCCGCTGGCAGGTGCTCCCCACCACAAACACAGACCGCACCAGGCGCATCCCCTTCGCTGTCGCTCACGCTACCGCGGGCAGAGGCGGTGTGCGGTGCCGTGAGCGCACTGGAGCACACCTGCGATACACTCTGCCCGCTCCAGCCTCCCCACAGCCGCAGCCAGGGGCTCAGCCTGCTCACACCTGGGCCCCCGAGTCCTGGGGGAGCGGCGAGGGGGGGGGGGGGGAAATCAGCGGGCGCCCTGCCCACCCCGAGCCTCTGTCACGGGGCCGTGGCTACCGCTACTCCTCCGGGTGCCGCCCGCCGACTTCCCATCGCCCCTTCAACACACCAAAGTCACAGCCCAAGCCGTGCTGGCGCCACGCCCCCACACCCGGTGCCCTGGGAGCTTATCGGGAGCCGGGGCGCCCAGCCCGGAGCGGCTGCCCCGCTCTCCACAGCGGCCGCCGGGGCGGGGGGGACGGCGAGGCGCGGGCTCCAGTCACACCTCCCCCCCCCCCCCTTCTGCCCCGGCCCCGAGTGCCGCCCGCCGCGGCTCCCTCAGCGGCCGAGGAGCGCGGGAGGAGGAGGATGGCGGGCGGCCCCGCTTACCATGGCGCGGTTTGATTTCGGCGCCGCCGGGCGGGAAGAGGCGGCGGGCAGGCCGCGTGCGCAGCGCCGCCTGCCGCCCGCCCCCCGCTCCCGGCTGGCCCTGAGGCGCCCGGGGCGGCGGGGCCGTTCGGCATGCGTTGTTTTAAGGCCACCGCTAACGTGCTCGTGTTTTACCTTTTTTTTTCTTTCTTACCTTTTTTTTTTAACCATAATTTTTTCTTTCTTTTTTCTTTTTTTTTTTCCAAAGAATAAAACCGAGGGGGGCATAAAGAACGCGCTAACGGTGGTCCGAAACGACGCGCTTTGCACAAACTGGCCTGTTCACCGCAGGACCTGCGAGAAATAAAACCCTGGAAAGCTCACCGTGGAAGTGAAGGGCCTGGGCACATCTCGTGTTGCCTGTAGCAGTTGTTCATTGAGATGACTGTTCTAGCGGCTTTAATTACTTGCATCTTGTTTTAATTATTACTTGCGTGTTTGTAAATCACTTTCCTTCAGCTGCAGGATTCATGGGAAATTGCTTTGCAGCAGCAGTGGGTTGATACCTGACATACTAATTGTAGAGTTTAAATTCAAGCAAATGAAAACGTGCAGGCTGAGATGTTCAGGCAGTCCCTGCGAAGATTTTCCATGCCTTTTGCAAGGTGCCCCGTTCCCTGAAACCTGAAGTTCTTTTCCACACAGACCTGGCCCATGGTTGTGTTCCTCATTGTGTGTACCGTTGTACAACTAAAAACGAAATGCAAGTTAGAAATGATGTTATTAATACAAAGCTTACAGTTCATACAAAACACAAAGCTTCCTGTTCTGTCATTTGCTTGCTCTTGTGCAGCACGTTTTCAGCTCGCTAGCTTGCAATGAAATCTGTTGGTACGCCTCCTCATATTCTGTGAGGGCTAATATTCTGTCTCCTTGCTTTTCCCATCCTTTGGCAAGCCCCTAAAGTGTGTCCCCGTGCTCCCTGTGACAGTTCTTTTCCTCCTGTCACACTCACCTATGCTGCCTGAGGGCGTGGGCCCCTTCCTGTTCCTTCGCAGCGTGAAATAAAACTGAGCTCTGCTCTGATTTTTAATTGCTGCCAAGTGGTTGCTGCAACATTTTTTGCCGTGTGGGTTTTCTCCAAGTGACATGTGAGCAGCAGAGTGGGTGTCAGAGCTGAACATGCAGAAGAGGAACAGGAGAGGGAGGAGGGGTTTTCATAGAATCATTCACTCTGAAGTGGACTTGGGGCGTGTACCTCATGTCTTCCGATCAGCAGCAATGCGAGGCAGCAATGCTCCCATCTCCCCATTACACCTGAAAGTAGACTGTCAGCAAACACCCGGGTCACGCACGCAGGTAGAGCCAGCACGTGGCTGGAGCGCACACATGGAGCCACAGCTGGAAGGCATTCCTTGTTTCAGCAGTGATCGAAGCAAACGAGACAGCCCATCCGTCTAAGAAACATTAGGTCATGCTCTTAGGCACTGATAGGGTAGCTCGGCAGGCTTTCTCTGTCCATGCCCCCCTTGGGGACAGCCAGGCTCAGCTACCCTGACTGCGCTGGCAGCCCTGAAGCCCTTTCATGGCCACATTACGGGGTCCAATTTGCTCTGTAGTTAAGAGGATCCCTAACACCTCCCACATTTTGCAGTACCAGCTCAAAAGTAATTAGTTGAAAGACCGTGGGGTGAAACAGGTCCCAAACAGAAGGGGAACACGCAGTGGTGTCTCATGCTGTGTCATTTGAGGGTGGTTTTCCGTTACTAGGTAAAGTGGAATGAATGGCTTCTAAAATACGTAAAGGTCTGACATTTTTAATCGGCTTCAGAATGTCTAAATGTGGTATTTCACAAAACTGCTAGTCATATGCTGTGATTCTAAAAACAAGACAATGGATGGAAACACTGTGGAAGGTGGACTCATAACTGTGAGACAGTGAAACAGAAGACTGTTCTCATTTTCCTGTGATTTTCTTTAATAGTTTGGGCTAAATTTTCTATGCTAGGTGTCTGACTGAGATGTTTAAGTACCAGTCAAAAATAGTTTTTTACTGTTCCTGAGTTAAATACAGGGCTTTGTCAGTGTTAAAATATGCTTGGATGAGATGAAATTTGTGCCCTCCATTTTGTTCTTAGAAGTCTGGTAGTTGAATGACATTCAGAAACTCTGTTTTGAAAGAACACTAAAGGGACAATGGCAGGAAGGCTAGGAAGTAGGAGAACAAAAATTGTCCTACTTTAATTTTGTTCCTCCCATACCATATGTGCCATAGCACAGTCTCTAATTACATGAGCTATTTTTTCAGCAGAAGGGAAGAATTCACATTGAATAGCAGATCAGTTTATTTCTAGAAGTGTAACAGCAAGCCTTTCAAGTCCTGTGGCTTCCTCCCACAACACCTGTATGACTGACAGCAGGAGAGCTTAACCATGGAGGACAAGGAGAGCTCTTAAGAGATGCTCACACATGGGAGCTGATACCAGCTTCTCTGAGGTCCAGTCAGTCGTGGGCTGTGGCTGGTTATCAGGAAGCAGTGTGATCCATGAGTATCCCATACAGGCCAGTCTCTGCAGCATCCGCTGCCTCATTTCATCCTCAAGTGAGCATTTGGACTGTGAGCAGATGTTCTCCCTACAAACATCTACCCCAGTGAGAAATGCTAGTTGGCCCTCCTCCAAAACTTAGTGCTTCCACAGCTTTGCTAGCCAGAGCTGCTGAAGTAAGCTTTACCAATATTACCATAGAGAGGAGTTGCTTAAATACTAGGTTTTTGGTAATTAGACATTTCACTGAAAGAACAAGTCACTCACACGTGTAGCTCAGCCAACAGATCAGAGGGGCAGTGGTCTTCAACTGGACGAGTAGCAAGTGGTGGGTATCTATTCCCCCAGCACAGCTGGGGCCTGCCTAGGGAGAACATCTGTCCACAGAAAGGACACTGACTGTTCCAGTCACCTGAGATAGTTTTGTCTGGCCCAAATTAGGGAGCATTCACACTAACTGTCAGCAAAACTGCGGGGATAGTTAACTGCCGAGCAGCACGGCTGGATGTGGGAGAGAACTTCAGCCTAAGGAACGAGGAATTGGTACATCTGAAGATTCTGTCTGTCTTTGCGAGCAGGTTTCCAATCACATCGAGTTCTCAAATGATTCAGGTTTGGAGAGTTCACCAATGACCAAGAAGACATAGGTACTACATAAAATGAAAGTTAACATGAACTGAAAATTAGTTCTTACAGGAACAGGGTAAGACTGAACTCCTAAGGCAAATTTTCTGTTCTTTCACAATAATTTGTATTTGGTTTTCTGCAGCAGACCCTTGAAAGATGATAGCACAGCATAGCTAAAAGTTACTGTATCCTTCTGTGATGCAAATGGAAAAGTTTATGACTCATAATCTTACTGCCTCCAGTGAAAACGTTAATTTTGATTATTGGAATGAAGAAGGAAAGGAGGAGAAAGGGAAGCTCCAACTCTTCACCTTCTTCCCAAGAACAACTCAAGTCCCTCGTTCCTCTTTGTCTACATAAAAGCCTAACACCCATGAAAAAAAAAAAAAATCACAGTTTTCTTGGCTTGTGACCTGTGACATCAGGGAAAAAAACTGGAAAAATTTACCTGTCTTCCTGCGTTATGGGGCTACTTTTACAGACAGTGAACATGAGACATATCAGAAAAAAATCCTCAACCATGAAAATAACAGAGGAAACAAGCTTTATTATTATTATTTGAAATTTTTGTGCGTGGTAAAGGTACACATTTGACTCTGGTTTTCCTACATTTCCAAGACAGAGTAATTTTTTTTTAATCGTCGGCTAAAGCATCAAGAATACTGTGGCACACAGGAAGCTAAAACTACACACACACACACAAACACTTTGATGCACATCTTTCATCCTTGACCTTAAGGAGAAAACGTTTGTATTTAGCCTCATAGGGATTAAAAAAAATGAACCAAAACCAACAACAACAACAAAAAACAAGTGAGAAGAATATTTCATTATGAGTTTCAAGAGAGTGCAAGGTTTACATATACACAAAACATATGAGATTGACTTACAAAGATGGAATGTACAAAACTTTAAAAAAAAAAAAAGAAAAAAAGAAAAAAAAAGAAAAAAAACCCACTCACTCCTAGAACTGGAAAGCTGCAGCATATCAACTGGTTGAGATTTCAAACAGGGGCTGCTGCACTATGCATCTTGGGGAACATTCCCATGTCATAAAGCCAAAGCAAAAGTGTTAGGGTTAAGGCTGTGTTGCTCACAAACATCAACTGAAGTGCTGTACATCTGTCAGAAGTAACAGGACCTGTTAGGAATCTTACCCCTCTGTAGCACAAATACCTTCCCCACAGTTTCCACAAACAGGTCAAATAATCACTGCTCACAATTCATGAAGAAAATTTTCCATGTACATCATGATTTCATAACGAGCTGTCTCCCACAACTGAAAGTCATTTCTTTTTAACAAACAGAACATATTGGGCACTTATAGTTCTCATGGCAACACTAGATCCTTAGTTATAAAAAATATCGACATAAAATCAAAAGCCCTCTATCTTTTACAGAGCAGATGAGCACTTGCTAATAAATAACTGTCCACCTTCATTAGGCAAATGCTTGCTTAAACCATTTTCAGTTTCTTTTTCAGCTACATTGGTGCTGGTTTAGTCTATGTAAAAATCTCCTACTGCTTATATTGGATTTATCTGAACAGGTCCTTTTATTTTATTCTATTCGCAAAACAACGAAAATACAGTTGGCTAGTTTGTCCTAAAATGCTCCAAATGACATGAGATCTAATAACCTTTTGAGATTACTTTTGAGTTGAAGATTAGTTAAATGAAGCACATACTTTCACCATTCATGCTGTGCTGCTAGTCAATTAGCATTCCAGGGAAAGCAAGGGAACATTTGGTTATACCTGAAGTCTGGCAGCAGCGTGCCTATAAAGCCTTTAATAAATGCTAACAACTCAGCAAATCACATAGTGCAATTCTGACGTTCCCTTAATTGGATGAGAAAAAAATCTGCCAGTTTTTTAGTACAGAATTTCTGCTTTGGTTGCTCTTTGTAAGGTTTGTAAGCCAAGCATTTTAGTGAAATTGGCTTCAGAAGCACACTGTAAAAGCAATGTGCTTCTGAGCGTCCCAGTGCCAGGCAGATAAGGTCAGACCTTGGAAGGGAATGCCACTGAATGTGAAATCGTAATTGGCTGCATTTGCTATCAGAAGGAACTCGAAATTAGTGACATTTTCCAGGTGCTTCTCTGGTGATAATGTCTAAAAGTCCTGAAAAAGGACTACTCAATTGTAAGAAAAAAAGTCCACAAAATCTCTATTAGCTTTTAGCTGGGTTGTAAGGGGGTTGTGTGCAGAATTCCATATTTCATCAGGATGGACTGGGTTGACAAGGATTATATAAAATCATGGTAAACCATGCTGGACCAAAGGGACTGAAAAGCTTTTGAAGAAAAGTGTGTACATGAAATAGTATGGTATTAAGTATATGTTTTGATATATAGGTTAGGATCTGATTCCTATGCTTCTCAAACTTCCTGACAACAGAGGATTTGGCAATGTTTTCTGAGGGGTAAACATGCAAGTTTAGTAACACTGTATTATAAAAATCCATATTCGGAACTAGATAAGATAACTGACAGCAACAGCACATTTTTCATTTTCTCCTTTTTATCTCATAGAATCTGTGCAACTCCTTCTCTTCGTTAATAAATAAAGTTAAAATGCTATGCACCTTGTCTTCATTGATAAATGAGCCAGTTAAAAACCTTCCAATATCAGAAATTGTTTGTTTACCAGAAGGGTGCTTATAAGGACACTTAGAATGAAAATCTGATCTACAACTCCGTTAAATTTTGATAGGACAGTTTATTGTGTAATGACTGAGATACCATCTTCAGAATTTTAGGAGAAACTCAGTTCAAGCAGAGAATATTTCGTTCTCTTGGTAATACAAACGTGAGTTTTAATATTCCATAAATGTTACCACCAGTTTCTTAGCTGCATTGTACAGTCCAACCTTAAGCTTCATGCACAAAATATTTATTCCACTGAAGTAAGGAAACCTATACTTGCATGAAAATTTGTAAATTGGCTCTCTGTGCAAAAAATAAACAAGGGAAAGAGGAGGAAATATCTTTAAGAAAAAAGTAATTAAAAACCAGACAAGCTCCCCATTTAAGAACCTTGGGGTCTGCATTTTTACAAGTTAAATGCAACTTTACAAAAAAACCATTAGTTTTCTCAAATTCATTGAAACAACCACTTTAACCTTTTAGAAATAAGACAAATACTTTTAACATGTAATTTTATCAAAGATTTCTTTGCATTTTGAAGACATGCTTAAAATACTCCCTCGTTTCTGACCCAACGCCCTTTTGATTCGAGGCTTAAAAATGAGAAATGAAAGACAGCACTTCCCAGGCCATTACAGGCATTGGCAGCAAGCTCACCAGCTTCTCAAATGAGATTTAAGAGGGAACACCACTCTATCTACATTAGGCTACAGTAGCAATTTATCCCTTGGCCATTGGATTTAGAAGTAAGAGTAAAGCAAATGCTATTTTAAAAAGGACAAGTTCACACTTAAAAAAACCTCAACAAACCAAACATTAAAAACAGAACCATGACTGTAAGCATTTCCAATTAAATTAATACTTCAACAAAGAACACATTAGAGAGATCTGGCAGAAGAAAGAGGGACATTTTTCAGAGTACTGCCATTGTCAAATGTCATACATACGTTCCAGATTGCTGAAATAACCCACATTTACTTTTTTTTTTATTTTTATGTCAATCAGTCATACATACATACATACATACCTACATACAAACAAATTGGAACAAATCTCACAGTCCTTATTTTGTCCTCTAACAAAATTCCCTTTGATGAAGGACTTCAGGAATTGGTTCAAATTCATTCTTATTTGTATTTTTTTCTCACATAAAAACAAATAGCTTTGGTAACCCTTGGCTTTCCTATACAACCTCTGTTTTCCACAGTTCCTTTGGTTGTACAATGTAGGTCCTCCACAGGGGTACCTCTCTGGCTTTCGGTCCTGCGTGATGCTGCATTTTATTTTACTGGTTAATACAATGAGTTGCCGTAAGGAAACATGGCAATGAACACATACGAAAGAGTGGCACACATGAGGTTAATTGAGTTGACATTGTAATAACCCTGATCCTAATGAACTAGTTTGGTGTCAAAAGGTCTGTCATTACACAGAAATTCCGTTCCCACTAACGTATCGCTACAATTAAGTTTTTCCAGAGCTTTAGAAATGTCAGGTCTCTGCAAAGTCCTTCCTGCACACTGAGCAAGAGGAAGAGTGAAAAACAAGCATACAAAACAATCCTTCATTAATTCCACATGAGTAGGGAATTTGCATTGATTCTCATAGTGCTAAACGTTGAGCTGTGTTAGGTCTGACAGTTAGAGCTAGACGGATTTTGTGAGACTTAACCTTATACTAATAAAGGACCTACTTGTTATAGATAGTAAGACTGAAGAATGTTTAAAGTGTAGTTAATACCTACCATGATAATGAAATCTGGAAGATTCCCAGGATCACCTCTGGGTTAAATAATGCATAAGAATGATACTTCTTTAAATTTGGAAGCTCTGAACAGGAGCTACCCTTTGCAGTCATCAAAAAGCTTTGGGGCCTTTTCCCAAACTTTTCTCATTTTTGCCTAATCAGTTAATTCCAGTTCCATAGGTTGCAGTTTCTGTTTAATTTCACATTGTCTTTATGAATTCAGTGAAAGAAGACTCTTTATATTAACCCTTGCAACAAAAAGTTCAGTGAGAAACATAAGAGGTGCAAGTCCTATGTAAACAAAGCAAGTTTGGAAATTATCACAAGAAGTCCATAAGAGACTCCTTCATTATTAAAAATGAACTCAAAGTAGGAGATATCCTGCACTGGATCTCCAGGACAAGTCTTTTCTGAAGGATGGGTGATTATCCAGCTCCAGAGCTCATTGCTACTGTAAGTATCGATAGACCTTGAAGCAGTGATTTCCAGAGTCTGCAACTACGACGTGGCCATCTGAAGTAAGGGCCAGACCTTGGGGACCATAAAGTGGGTCAGCAGAGGTGTTAATGTAGGACAGAAATGATCCGCTTCCATCAAAAACCTTAGAGAGTGAGAAAGCACAGAATAAATGTTATGAATAAAAAAGAAAAATAGCGGACACAAGTCTGCTCTCAATTATACTGTTACACTTCTCATTTCTGAAACAGCTGGCATATGCTAGAACAAACAGGGGCAAAATCTGTTCTGTTATAACATGCAAGTTTATATACAAATGTATTATTAAAAAGAGCTAATTAAAGCTGTCAGGATCTTTGGCAAGAATTAAATACAGTGAAATAATAATAATGATAATAAAAAGCACCTTGGCTGTTCCTTGTTCTAAAAATAGGCAACTAAAATAAATCAAACTCAATAAGGAACACAAACAACACCTTGGTTTCCTAACAAATATTACTGTCGTGGCTAGCCTCTTAGGTTCCCACACAGAAAAAAAACAGGAATTTGTTTACCCTGTTGATAGGGCTTCCTGAGAAAAACTCAGAAGCAGCTCCCTCTTTTTGTATTCAGTGGAAATAACACATACAGGTAGTTATTTATTAGGTGTTCTTTGACAAATAAGAAGACCTTGTGATTAGCACTTGAAAGATAAAAAAGAGTGCAACTCTCATAACTTAAAAGCAGAATAGTTTCTCAGTATTTAAAACAGATGATAAAAATCTGCTGCATTTGCCTCAGGTCATTTGCTTTTTCATATTTTCCACCATGTCTCCAATCTCCTGTTATGTTGATTATAAGTTACTGTCATCTCAGCAATGCTTGTGAGTTTCAAAAGTCATCAAATAGCTTTTGGGGAACTACTTGGAGACAAAAGCCTTGGTCACAGTGACCATCAGAGTTGCTAGTAGTCACACTGGAAAGCCCATGGTCTCACACCACTAGTTCTAAAAGTGGACAGGCCAGGAATGAGGCATATAAAAGGCTGTGTGAGAAACCACATCACTTCTGATTTTTGCCATCGTGTTTCTTGGGCAGTCTGAAGACTTCAGTGACCAGAGTTATCAGTCCATTAGTTTTCTTAATCAAGCACCCTTGAAATATGGAAATTTCTACCTGTATTCGGCTGTTTCCCCAATCTGCTACAATAATATTTCCATTTGAATCTACAGCTACTCCAGTTGGTGCATTAAACTGTCCATTTCCTTCTCCATTTGATCCAAACTTCAGCATGAATTCTCCCTCCTGGTTAAATACCTGTATGGATTAAAACAAAAACCTGAATACGGCATCACATCAGTATCAGCAGTCATACTACCACCAGTTCACCTGCTAATGAAAGTAGGAATTGGAGACTCCCCAGGAACACACACCTGCTACACACAGACACACTCTGAAGATGGGAGGTGTCCATCTCTCCCTTAGGCTCCATTACACTGTACAGTCTTTCCCTTCCCACTTAACATCTGATTCAGCTCAAACACAGAGGGAAAGGAAGAACTCCAGAATTTTTCTACAGCTTGCACATCTTGAATTAAGAAGAGCTGAGGGCAGATGCAGCACTGGGTTCTGTGTTTCTGTAGAACTGACACACAGCGGAGCAGATGCACCCTCCTCTGACTTCCATAATCTAACAGACACTGAGAATCATGGCATACTGCTCTCTGTATAGACAGTTCAGCAACTGAATTCTCTGTGATGGTAACAGGTTTAGACAATAGAAAGATAGAACTGATCAATGAATATTGTGTCAGTGACCTGGATGCACCAACTGAGATACAGAATGTGTCACTTACATAGTACCGTAGCTGTTTCTAAAATATTTTGGTCCACCTGTCACTCAGGCCCAGCTATAGCACAAGGTCCAACTGTGTTCTTAGAGACTGACTGTGGCTTGCACAAGAAAATGCAAAGACCTGACAAGTGTCAAGTGCTAATAAGGTGGAAGATGCAAGGAAGTCATCCTGTTCTTGAACATCCACAGTGAACAGAGAATAGGCATTTGGGAAGAGAAATTAATTAAGTACTAGGCTGGTGCTTCAGATGATTAAAGAAAATAGGAAAAACGTCAACTAATGAAAAAAACAGGCAAAGATGTATTGCTTTCCCCTGGATTAAAGTGACCAAATGAGAGAGAAGCCTACATTGCAGAGGATTTTCTACAGAAGCTGCCTGAGGGAAGGAACATGCTTGGAGGTTAATGGGGGAGAGAGAGTAATGTTGCTGACTGAGCATGTTTAATACAAGACTTTGGGATCCAGAAGAGTGAAATTAATTTATTTAGTTATTTATAAATTACTATTTAAAACAAGATGTCCTCTGCTCCCAGATTATACACTCTGCTCTCCAGAGTGTCAACAGTTATCTGTACCAATTTAGAGAGCACTACAAAAATAAGTATCTTCTCCAGTTAATACCAAATTGTAACAAATAACATTTTTATCCCATTGAGTCATGCCAGAGACAGAGGGGAACACTCTGTTCGCGTTAGAAATGTAGTAATTATAAATTCGCTAAGATGTCACACTTCTTACATGTCTTCACTTGCTTTTTTTTCATTTTAGTTTGCCCTTGTTGTTAAGCCTCTCCAGGCATTCTTGTTACCAGGCAAGCCCTGCTTGTGGAGGGGTAATTTATGGAGTCATAGGCATCCTGCTGCTAAACAGTCTGCTTTAGGGCTCCTGCAGCAGTCTTGGTTTCTGTGTTGTAATCCAAACCACGAGTTGCTACTTCCTCACAAATTCCAAAAGGATACGCAAGCAAGATTGCTGCCCAAAAGGTAGATGATTCAGCACTGCTCAGGACATGAAAGCCTCTGTGTTTAGGGAGCAACTTCCTATTTCAGGCAAATATATAAGATTTATCATTGCAGTTATGAACAGTGAAGAACTGGACTGTTCATCTTCGTGTTCAATCAAAATAGGCATCCATTAGGTGAAATCCCAGGCATTTCATTGGTGCATGGGGACTTGATGCAGTGGCCTGAGAACCCAGGTAGAACAGCATTCTGCCTGTGTCCACCTCATGCTGCTTCGTGTTGAGGGAGGGAAAAAGAGCACACGTGGAAAGTGTCTGAAAGGGAATGCCTACGAACAAACATGCAGAGGTGAGTAATTTCTGAAATAGTCTGTATGTCCTTCATATACACTTTCCAACACATGACATCTCAACACATGTATCCTTGTTTTGGTTACTGGGACAAATGAATATATTTCCCTATCTTACCGTGACTGTTTAACAGGCAAACGAGTCAGGACTTCCCATGGGTGTAAGGACTCATGGCCAGTTCTGCCCAATGCAGGAGGTACTGAATGAAAACCGATGGTTACGCAATTTTTAAGAGATCTGATTGTAAATGGATCTGGTAATCCTAAAGCTTACAGGTGTGGAATTTGAAAACTGTCATGTATCTTCATTTCGTTATAATTTTGTTCAGCTAGAAATGTGGAAAGCTCTTACTGGGAAATTCAAAAGCAGTTACCAGACTCTTAAAATAGGACAGAACATAAGGACAAGAACAGGTTTGGTAAAGTGCTAATGAATTGCTAATAACTAAGTAAAAATTATTTATCTCAGGTATGGCTTATGTTTGAGCAGTTGAATTAGAGGCCATTACAGTGACATCAAAGGCAAGGGATTATATCTTCACTAAGCAATGCACTGCATGCAAAGTTCTCTGAATATGCTGTCCTTATAACAAAGCTCATATATATGGAGTGTGATCTCTTTGGCTTTAGCAACACTTAAAATTCCCCAAGAAAGCACTAGAATAAAATAAAAATGGCAACTTTCCAAGTTGCCATTAATTGACAGTACCTTGACAGAATGGTTATGAAAATCTGTAATGATGATTTCATTGTTGCTGTTTACAGCTGCAAAATGAGGACCTGCAATGCAGAAGAAGAAGAAGAAAAATAAAAAAAATAACAATACCATTAAAACAAAAAGTATTGTTAAATTAAAATAAATAAATTCAGCCTGCTAGGATATTATGTTTGGCTTCTGAGCAATAATAGTCAAATTGGGAATACCAGTTTCAAAGTAGGAGTAATTTTATTTCATGGGTTTTTTTAAAAAAAGCTCAGCATGCTTTTTGTAAACAGTTTCTTTTTCAACCAATTGTCAGCTATTGTTGCCAAAAAGCATTGTTCATTCCTTCCTCTCTTGTGTACATATGACTATACAGAGATTTATATGCTTATTAACAACTCAAAACACATAGTGTTTAGGCATAAAATTGTGTATACACTGAAAATAGTTCTCAAAAATGTTCATGTGAAGTCTTAACTGAAATATTCTATGCTCTGTGTGCTCACAGGCATTTGAGCTAACAAGTTTTAGGATAAATACAAAACTTACATAGAAGATCACTGTCATGGAAAAAGTTGCATTTTTGCTTTACATTGTGTATTGAACTATGTGTGCAAATTTGAGTAATAAACTTGAAAGTAGCTTGAAAACAGGCAAGTACCCAAATCAAAATACTTTGTTCGATTTTGAGTTATTAAACAGATCAGAACTCAGTTTCAATTTTCAGAGTATATCAGGGTAAACTATAAAACAGGTGAAAACCTTTACAATGAAAAGATTAGAGTATGAAGAATTGACATGTTTTCTGTTGCCTACAAGCAAGAAGAGGTGATACGTTTCTCAAATGCACTATTAGGAAGTATTTGCACACTTATCTTCAGGAGGTGTTCTTATAGATTTTAAAATGAAAGAAATTAAAGATACCCCGAAAATCTAGCTGTGTTAGACCCAAAGTGCTCATAAATTATATATATAATGCCATAAGACAGTGCAAGAGATCTGAAGATAAAAACAGTAATACCACTGATATATGCCTTTCTTACACTGTGAACCAGTCAAAACATCACACCAATCAAACTACATACTCAAAGTGACCCAACACCTGCAAAGTGGCCTGCATATGTAATTTGGCATCTTCATTTCAAATTCTGGAAGAACAGCTACTCACTTAAAATACATCGATTGGGGTTTTTTTTTAAATTTAATTGCATGTTCTACTTGAAAGACACCACGTGCAAGCAGTCAGTTAAGTGGCAATTTCCCCGAAGTCACATTGGCCATCGCATAACTGTGTGTCTTCCTAGCCTCAACCTTAACACTATCCTATTACACTCATTTTCTAATGAGCGGGAAGCTACCACTTGGGGCATTGGTTTATGTGCATCTGATCATTGGAAACACAAAGCACAGTGTTTGAGCTGATTATCATGAACAGCTTAGTGGGGGCATTACTAAGCGCTTATAAAATGCTAGTTAAGATCAGTCTTTCTTGGATCACTGATCTGAAATGCTTCCAGGCATAGAGAGGTAGATAAAACAGTCTGGTTACAGCTGAATTTGAAGAACAGATGTTGCAGTCTTCCTGACCAGTTAAACAAATGGTGAAGTGAATAGGAGCTATATGTTTAGTAGAACCTCTCCCCAGAGGATAAATGAGTAGGATATAGCATCTTCAACATGCTCAAACATCATGCAAATGTGAGCAGAAGAGGCAAGAAAAGGGGATTTACATATTACCATCAAGTGTACCTGCAAACTGCTTGTCACCATTTCCTCGACTACCGAACCTGGTGACTATTTTCCCATTTGGCTGGAAGATGAAGACGCAGCATGCTTTATTGTCCACTACAATGATGTGTCCATTACGATCCACTGAAACACCTTTAGGGCCCATGAGCTTTCCAGACCCGATTTTGGCCTAAAAGGGAAAATACAAAACAGGAGAATATGTTAGCATGGTAGAAATTAGTACATTTTGAAGATTACATTACAGGCGCACAGCAGGATGGAGAGGCATTTTTGTCATTAACAGTTGGAAGCAATTGTTTATATCAGTTCATACTGTGTACTTCATAATTTTTCCTTCAGTTGAAATAAAGACTGCTTTCTGTGTGTCTTTTTTAGAGTGAAAAATCTGCCACCTCAGCAACTGAGTCCAAATATACAACTCAAAAGAAACACAATCACGTGTGTCTTGACAAACTACAGCACCTGTCAAGAAATGTCTGTATATCCAGCATCAGGGTACCAGCAGGATAGGCAGCCAATCGGAAAAGACTTCTGCCTCCTACTGCATGCTATTCCCGAGTCCAGCAACCACCTGATTATGGACAGGGAAATATGCCTCTGTCACTGCCTGCATTCAAAGCAGTCAGAGTTCACTCTTGGAGCATCAGAGCTGGGTGGGATGTAGGCTCTGATGTCCTCTCTTCCCTTTCTTGGGTTAATGAGACACCAGCACCTTCTGAGTGCTCTCGGAAAGAATTTGAGCAGAGCTACACCTCAGACTAACCTCTCTATCTTCCACCAGATCCACATCAGATTGTTTCACTTTCTGCTTAGACACATGAAGTGTCAGCTGAAAACTGCAAAGGAGAGAGGATCGTGCTGCCAAACAGCAAATGAATTCATCTTTGAAACACTAAACAAATCAAAGCTTGCTCTTGTCATAGGTAAATAAAATTATTTCCATCATTTTAAATAGGGCTTGTGACTACCAAAACCATCTGCCAGCATAACCAGAAAAAAATACTGTATACAGTATTTCAATGGAAAAACGTTCAGTGCAGATGAGATGGATCTCACACAGAGTAAATTATTTGGAAAGGTTAGAGAGTTCCCAAATCAGAAAATGTTAGAACCAATTTTCAGTAGGATCAAAAAGAAGGGGCTCTAAGAAGATGACCTAAGCAACAACAGAGCAAATAGAACTTGAGACAAAGCCTTCAAAGAACCCATGAACTATCTGGGCATATATCCAAGAAGATTCTAGGATCACCTCACAACCCATTCCACATTTTTCACCATTCTGCTCTTTTTTTAGGCAGCAATTCTATAAACTGTTTTAATCTACATTAAATCAGTTGAGTTTTGACCTTTCAGTTAAAAAAGTTTATAAAAATACCTAGTTGTTTGTGTTGGAATGGAGCAACTTGAGTCCTGCTTTTAGTTGTTTGTTTTTTTTTTTTTTTTAATTGATACACAGATTTGGAAATCTGTGGTTGGTTTCAAAAGCCTGGTCTCTTGCCAGCCTCTTTACTGTACTGGACAGACAATCCACCAAACAGCTGTGTTGAAATTATGGATCCCAGAACTTTAAGATCCTGTACTATTTGTGAGAGACACGACCTACAAACTGACGTCCATATCTTGGTGAAGAATGTACTTTTCTGTTTCCTTTGTGATTTAAATGAAATAGATACTAAGATACTCATGTATGAAACAAGGCCATTTTTCACCTCAGTGCTTTTGCAGAGTGGGATGGATCATCACACAGAACAAGCAATGCTTAGAATTAGAGAATCACTTAGGTTGGAAAGGACCTTTCAGACTGAGTTGAAGCATTAACCTAGCACTGCCATGTTCACCATTAAAACACATCCACAACTACCACGTCTACTTCTGACTTCTCTGCCCCTCTCCTCTACCTCCTGCAAGTGGTGAGTAGTAGTGGAACCTATCAAGGTGGGACAGATTGCAAGGCATGAAGAAGATCTCTTACCTAAGTCATTTCTCTCATGTCCCTAATATTTTCAAAGCAAACAGAAGGAGCTCTACTACCCTTAGTAAGTCCCATGCTCCTATTCCACAGTCCATTCTTATAGGTGGGGTTGCAGGTAAAAATAGAAACCGTCCTAAAATAAAGCCATCTGGGCTCCCTGAGGATGTCTGGTACCAAGTCACTACACAACCTCTTTCAGTCTCAAATAAAGAACACTCCAGGGAGTAAATCTTGCAGCTTCAAGACTATGATTAGCCAACAAGCAATGATCATGTGTCTGTTTTATGTTCAGGTACACTCTCTGTTATAAATTGCTAAATATTTAGGCAAAATCCACCTAGTTGAATCATGCTAAAATATCCTCAGGAAAAACTATTAACAATTACTTTGTGTTTGCCAGGGGAAAGATACCAGCAGACCTACAAAATTTATTCAGGTTTGCATAACAACAAAGTAGCAAAAACATAAATCAAATGCAAATCAGTAGATTATTTCCTTTGGGGTGATTAAATCATATTCCCTTCTTTCCTCTGGGATATTCGCGTGTTTGTTTGCTTGTGCATTGCACCACCTCCTTACCATCTTTCCAAGATTCCTATGGAAAAATAACTCAGACTCATGAATACAGTGATTTCCTGCCCATATAAACACATATGGAAAAATATAATGAATAAATCACATACTACATTAATGGGCACTCAGTGCTGAGAAGAGTAATAAAAATCACTATTCTTGGACCAGGATTTAAAATATAATTTGCAGGCAGCAATAAAGTATATCCAGCTAGAGTTTGCAGTGCCTTTTACTAAAAATCTCTGTTTCCAGTTTAGATCAAAATATGCTGATGACACATTACTGGGTCTGGCTGGACATATTCTTTGTGTATTTTTATTTCAGAAGGTTTCTTAGAATTATAGGTTTGATTATTTAGAACAGAACATTATGAAACCCAGTCACTCCTGTTAAGTGTATGAATGGAAGTATTTTCAGACTTTTCTGCCTTTAGAAATGAATACAGTATAATGAATCATGTGAACCCTTAATACAAATAATGTGTTTAATTGAATTCAGTCAAGGACATTATGTCCCCTCTTTTATAGGCTCTTAGGAATTTAGACTGTTTTTCAAATATGTGTTTATAAAGTCACCCTACCAGGCTGGAAAATATTCTGTGGGGTATTCCTAGAGGTAAAAAATAAATCAGCCAGCCTATGCAAAATTTATAAAGACTTTTCCACTGCAGAAGTAAGTGTGTTAGGGCTTCAAGGTTAACTCTACCAATCTTCTTGCTGTCCGAAAGGTTCATGATTGTCAGGAATTAATTACAGACTTTTAACACACCACCCTTTCCTGTTTGAGAACTTTCCTAATAAGGAGATAGAGCTTTGTTACACACTGCAGTATCGCACAATATGTGAATTCATCATTTACGTGACCGCTCTTTCTTTAATTCTTCTAATAAGACAAGAAAAAAAAAGTCTGACATATAAAATGTTTCCTTTCATCTTTTTCCACTCATCTAAACTTGACCTTGACTTGCAGCCCTGTTTGGCTGATACAAGCTATCTTATACATAACTCTTCCAGACTAAGAGGAAAATAATTATCTTCTCGGAGGACTAGGAATCATTCTCTTGGCTCTGTTGTCCAGTCCCTTCACTAGGTTTGAACACCACACTGGTAAGAAGCTACTCCTTCACCACGTGCTCTCTCCTTTGCCTAGAGATACGTCTGCTCTACCAGTTTTCTTAAGCTGTTTCAGAGTATTTGACAGAGGAAGCCAGCACTGTTATATGCCTTTGGCATAGATGAGAAAAACAAAGCACTGAGAAGTGAAATGGAAGATCACTGGTCACCTGTGAGATCTGTGGCAGAGCCAGAAACAGAAGCCCCAAATCATAAGACCCTATCTGAGTCTTTATCGTGATAATACAGCCTCTCATTTTAAAAGGTTTGTGTCTTGGATTAGAGTTTGTCCACCTCTGCATTATGCAAGTTAAAACAGCCTTGAGAAAACAGAGCTCTGTCTCTGTTGCTGCCAGCAACTGAGGAAGGTGACACTTTTTTGCCTGGCAGTGGAGGTTGCCAGGGTGAGTCACACCAGTGCTGTAAGCAGGGAGATGCCTGGCTCACATGACTATTAAAATGCCACTAAGGGAGAGTAAGTGTAAGTAAATACAGAAGGAAGGGGACAACATCAAAAATGGTTAGATTAAGTTCAAAAGAGCCCCAATCATGCTGAGTTAACAACTAGCAGGCCACCTGCAGACGTCTTATATAATGACTTGTAGGCACAGTCCTTTGAAGGGAAATACCATTATCTCTTTCTCTCTTTCTCTGTTATCTTAGCAAGCGCTGCCCAATTTAATCTGACAAAGCCCCTGTAAGAATTGCCATTGCCAACACACAAGAAATTACAAGGCTTTGCCCAGATTCCCACAGGCTATATCTGTTAAACCTATATCCTCTATTTCAAATATATTTTATATAACCCCCTCATAGAACATCCTGCGTTTGAAGGGACCCACAAGGATCTTTAAGTCCAACTCCTGGCCCTGCACCATCATGCCCAATACAAGCCCCATCCCTTCCAAGCACCATCTCACAACCTTCTCCTTGGTGGGCACGACCTCCCAACCCTGTGTGTATGTCCCCAAGGCCTCCCTAAGCCCTGTGCTCCCCCCACCCCCACCCCTGTCCCCCAGCACAGCTCCCCATTTACACAGTGCGCAGTACAGGACCCCCCTCAACCAGTACTGCACCAATACAGGATCCTCTCATCCCAAAACAGCTCCTCAGAGTGTGGACTTGGTCTCAGTGTCCATCCTTGTCTCCATCCTGGTGCTCCCCTTGTCCTGCTCCTGCTCTCCCCACGCACATGCTCTGCCACTTGTCCTGCACCCAGCTCCTGCACAGATATGATTATCCCTATCCTCCATATAAAAAAATACTTCTGCAAACATTTGTTTATTTTTTCTCTCATAATAAGGGTTATTGCATTCAATCTAAAAATAGTGTTCTACAGCAGTGATGTTTCATCTCTCATTTAATCAGTCCAGTCCCAAGAACTATGAAGTCCAATGCATTAACTTGTATTAACCACACAAATATTGCCAACATTGCATAGCTTTTGCAATCCAGGAAAAATATTGACTAAAAACAAAGCTAGGCTTCACATCAGAGTAACAACATTAATAATTAATTTCTTATTCAATACCTCTCTCCCTGCTGCTAGTATATCACACATAGGATCCTGGCTTCCCCAGCACTTTTTCCTCCAGAGCTGGCACCATCCAAAATCTTGGATTTACAGTATATCTTGGGAAGGAAGGAAAGCAAGCCCTCCATGCTCTGTGTCCAGATCAAGCCAGTTTCACATTAAAGATGGTAATAATTATTTAAAACACACTTGGGATATTCAGCGTATTTGGATTCTTAACTAAATTACATCTTTCTTTGGGTTTGTTTTGGTGTGTTCATTTCATTCAAGGACTTCAGCCAAACCCAAGATTTTCCTGTGTGGCTGCAGATTTTCAAAATTAGTTGACAAGGAAAATCACATACTCTCTGCAGATGCAAGTAATTTGTACTTTTTTAACACTTGAATTGCATATTAGTATTGTTTTATTTTTGCTTCAAGTCTACATGGTCTGGATACTTTCAAAACCATAGACATCAGTTTCTCAGAGGTCACTGAGGACTATGCAAGCACTGTCTCCTATTTGCTGTAGCATTTGTCACTTTGCAAAGACTTTTCAAAGGGAGGCCATTTCTTGGTATACACATGAGCAGCTCAAGACCTGAGTTTTTGTTCATTAGGCTGCCAGAAAATCAGCCAAACAGGCCATTTCTCTCCAATGCAGGACTCTAGAACTAAGCACCTATGGTAAAAATTTCCCTGCAGATCCACGATCCCAATGACCAGTGAGTACTGCTAACTGCTGCTACAGGTGGCTCTTCCTAGCACACATCACCAAAATTGGTAACATGCATTCAGAGAACAGCATCAAATACAGGGAATGTTTAATTGTCTCTGGAATTATACCTGAACCCAAGCAAAATAAATACTGCAGGTTGGCAATCATAAATGCAATGTAGTAGCTGCCATCTTAATTTACTCCCACTAAAGGGATCAGAGTTGCTATGAAAATAAGAGGGGTGCTTTCCTCAGAATTTCTGATTTCTGACACCTAAGACATTATTACTGCATTTCAGTTTTTCCAGTCATCGCACAATCACAGAACCTAAAACACTCTTGTCTGTGCTGTAGAACTGGAACAACATCCTGAGCTGCCCTTCCTTGCTCTAATTACCACCAGGATCCTACATGAATTATACACTTTATTTGCTGATTCACGTGGAGAGGAGGAATTCATCATCAATCTCCAACCTTCTTTTTCTCCTCCATATGTCAGTGAAGAGTTTCACATAGTCCTCACAGGATTTTGTGTTTGTCTGTGTGTACACACATATCTGCACATACTTTTCCGTACAATCAGAGTACTAATGACATGAAGGTTGTTGAGCTAGTCCAACTAGACTTGATAGCACTAGCTATCCTCGACCTTAAGTTATAGAAAGGAATCCAAGCACCTAGTATGCAGACCTGTAAAGTGGAACATACTGTCCCTTCTTGGTATAAGATTAGCATCACAACTGTGATCTCCTCCTATTAATTATACAACATGGCTGTGTCACAGGTTTCCACATCACAACAATGGAATTTAGACTAAGTTACAACCAAACTATGCAGTTTCTTGAGAAACAATGTTACTTAGCATTCCTTTGGAAGACAGAAAAAGCTCAGGAGAGTTCACATGGTAACTGGTACCTTAAATTTTCCATCTGATGAGAATATGCTAACCCATTTGTTATCATAGTCTGCAATAATGATGTCACCACTGGGATGCACGGCCACTCCTGTTGGCCGCTGCAGCTGGCCAGGAGACCTTCCTCGTATGCCAAAACGGCTTTTGAACTGACCATCATTGGAAAATATCTGTAATAGAAAACATAAGTTTTAAAATTAAGTCTGCACATTACCATCACCTATTTCTTGAAGCTTAGATTTTAGCAAGTCACTAATGAACTCATTAATGACTATAGTTGGGAAGAGAGCTGGGAACGTGAAGCACTTTTACACAGTCCATATTTGAAAGCGATATGTCCAATTTAAGAAGCAGCTTGCACCTGAACCCTAATTTCAAAAGAAAGAAATTCTCTGCACTTACATTGCACTGCTTCTTCCAGTGACCTCAAAGTAATTTACAAACAGGCTTAGTGAATTAAGCTTCACAATGTCTCTCTCAGCTGGTAGGAAGTGGTAGTATTCCCATATTAGAAATGAGGAAACCGAGGCACCGAGTGACTCGGCCACAGTCAAATACTAAGTCTGTAGAAAACATGGGAATAAGTCCACTGGTTGTGCCCCCAAGCCAGGTAATTAGACACTGAAATTCCTCTGAAGTGGCTGCAAATTATGAAGCGTGAAGGTACTGATGAATATTTGCCTCTTTGAAAGGGCCTGGAAATGAGTTCTTACAGCATGTGGCTTGCTGGTTCTCACATTCTGAAGAACAAGCCACACGCTGCTGCCGTGTTCATTGCTACCACATGGGCAGCCTGAGGAGCGATGACAAATTGTTAACGGTAAAAAAGATACATGGCAAGCAAAAAACCAAAAAAAACAGAGCTTGATTTTCACACAGGTTATAGAAGCCAAGAAATTATGGATGTCAGGAGTGCTACCACAGAAAAGAGTTGATCATGACATTAGACAGAAAAGTCAATAAAGTAGACTAAAAGCCATTTGAAAATTACATCTATATGTTTATTCTTCTATTTGTATTTCCTTAAGAAATGATATTTGTGGCACCTTAACCTAGATTTCTGTTTGAAAGCATGGGGGATAAAATTTACAATGTAAAATTATATTTACAAAAAAGTGGTTTTCCAGATTATTGCATGACCTTTTTTTTCATTCATTGCCAAACATCATAAGGAAGGGAAATAAACTCTGATATGCATACTAGATATAGTATATATCTGAAAAAGATAGCTGCAGGTCAAGAAGATAGAATGATAATGGATGATAAATAAATTGAGCTTCCCTTGCATTTTTCTGCCAAAAAAGGCAGAGGTGTGGGAGCAGGGAGAAAAAGAAAAACACTGAAAGTGGCATATCCTCATACCTGCACACACTGGTTGTTACTATCTGCTATTAATATTTTTCCATTTGTAGATGCAGCTACACCTTGAAGATTTGTAAATTCCCCTTTGTTTCTTCCTTTGGTGCCTAAAATTGAACACAAAGCACATAAGAAATCAGGTTAGGCAGGACTAATCAGTTAGGACCTAAATGTCAGCACATGCAATTATTACATTCCTGATCTAAGGATTTCTATTTTGAAGAGTTCTTATCACTGCTACAGCTTCAAAGAACATCTCAGTAACAGATCCACAATTCTACCTACAAGAAGGGATTATTCATATTCCTCAGTCTGTATGTCATCTAAGCCCCCATCAACATAATTACCTCTTTGGCTTCCATAAATCAGTGTTCACAAATTGCCTCTTGCATGAGGGAACTACTAGAAGTTTTTTTCCTGAGTGATGGACTTCTTTTAAGCTGTGGATTTTTTTCAACTGAGAAGGCAATTAAAGGGGTAGTACTGTAGGAAAATATGGACAGAGGCTAAGATAAGGACCTGCACAGGTGACACAGTTTCCCACTTCAAGACATGGAAGTTTCCTATTTATTCATATACATTTACTCACAAACATAACAGTTTTTGGTCACAGGCTTTAAAAATTCCCTTAGCAGGGAAACTCAGATGAAGAACTAGCTTTGAATGACTGGGACTTGTGGGCCCATGAAGACCAACACCTGAAGACTGGGTGCTCCTGCAAAGACCTTAGATTGTTTAATAAAGCAGTGTCCACACACAGAGCTCTCATTTTAACCCAGGACAAATGCAATAGTGATTTACACAGAACTGTATGTTGTTTCCCCAATGGCTTAAGGTGATAAGGAGTTTTAAAATGTCAACTTTTCACAAAAATTCGGTAAGTTTAGGTGGCTTATTACTTCAATGTCTGTTCTGAGGTGTTCCAAGGAGCATCACAGAGCAAACCGGTATCTTTAAAAGATCAGCCTAAAAGTGGCTGGCCCAAATTACACCTGGTACACAGGATATGCAAATTCCTGATTTGTCTGAAAAAGAGGCCCAGGGGTCTTTAGAAAAGACTGCAGTTATGATCTTGGACTCTAAGGTTATTCATAGTGAATGAATGAATTTTGAAACAAACAAAAAAACCCAAACCAACAACCAACTCTATAAGCTGTTCTTTCCAAGACTTAGATGCAGTGCTGATTTTCCTGGTAAAATATTTTTACAAGCATTCACTGGCTGTGTATTAACTGAAAAGCTTGTATTTTATTTTAGTCAGTCCAAAATATCCTGGAGCTCAATGGTTAAAACTGTTCTGACTGTGGTGCCTAATATAAGACATAGATATTAGCTCTAATTTGTATTTGGCTTTCATTAGGCATGTGTATGCTCATAACAACCCTTCTTTCTTCTGTGGTGATGGCTGTGGGACGCATATTTCCTGTCACTGGCTAACAAGAAACATTTAATTTCTCTGTTCTTGCTGCTGCAGGAATGTCCCTTTGTTTCAAGACTTATTTTCTTCAACTCCATCTGCTCCATCCTCTAAACAAGGCAAATGCTTCTCAGTTTTTGTACTGCAAGGGGAAAGTACTTATTCAGGGAATAGTGAGTTACATACCAATCACATTACCCATTCTTGAGCCATTTCTGTGTATTCTTTTAATAAGCAGTGCCCGAGGGATACATGCAGTAATTTTTTTCCACCATATGCTAATGATAAGTTTCCTTTTTTGCCTTTTAGCCAAAGAGAATGGATGAAAAGGGAGAAACATTCCTTTTACTACTGAGAGTAAAGGGAAAACATTTGTTAAAAAAGAGGAGGCATAAGCTAGAGCATCTGGAACCAACTAGCACAAACTTTATGGAATGTATGCTCTTTAGCCTTAGAAAAATGCTCTTGAAAGTCAAGGAATTTCATTTTTAGAGATAAGAGAGACCCTATATAAAGAGTTACTGAGTGTTCTTCAGTAGGACCTTGTAAATATACATCAAAGGAAAAACTAAAGAAATTACCCAGGAATACCACAGTCACATTTCACAGTAAGCTTAAGAAATAGCAATTTATTAGCACAGTATGTAGATGAAATTCAGCTCTAAGCAATGTCCTTGTACCTAGCACTTTGCAGCCATTAAACCTATCACATAGGTCCTAATTTGCACACAGGTCTTTATAATAGAGTCCCCTCTGCAGTGGCACAAACTTCTCTGCAGAAGAAAGCCGAGGTTAGTGAAACACAGCTTATTTCCTAATGTATGTTCAAGAGGAAAACAGATAACTTTGAACTTTCTGTTTTGAATAATTCACTATGCCAGCAATGATCTGAAGCCAAGCACAGGCACTTCAAGTGATGAGAGGAAAGCTTGTAGTAAAGTATGTCAGCCTCTGGAATAGCAGGCTCCTGCAACTGACTGTGCAATACCAAAGGATGACAGCTACCTGCTTGAGAGAGAGTCTTCAGAAAATCTTTTACTGCAAGATACTATCCCTCTACATCAAGGCACCCCGTGCTTTGTCTTCTCTCCATTGTGGGCAGTCAGCCATCTCTCCTTAGCCTAGGGAGGCACTAACATTTCAATGGCACAGGGCTGGAAACATTGGGATCCTCGTTCCAGTGTTTCCCAAGCAGCCTTGTTAAGAGGTGAAAGCCTGCATCTTTCGTGCCAGTCACTGCCCAGCCTTATCTCCCTCCTGTTCTGAGCTACTGCAGGGCACAAAGGAGGAAAAACCAGATATTTTACTGCAACTGCTGTGGCAGGCTGCTGGGGATTGGGAGAGGACAGCAGTTTTCAAAAGGGGAAGTCTGAACAGAGTTATTAGGAAGCAGGTCTGCGGCCTGTGGAATAGCTCCTGTTATACCACTTTTGTATACAGATAATAATCAGATTTGTCTTAGTCCTATCCAATTCCTTCTAGTATTACTGAGCATAGCCTGCACAAACCAATTAATTTAGCTTTCAACAAAGTAAGTATGCATTTTCTGCCCAAGACAACCTAGCACACATAAAATGCTTCATAATTTCAATCTTTTATTCTTGCACAAGAGAGACCATGTTGAATGTCACCAGAAAGAAGGGAAAAAAGTAATCTAAAAGCCCATTAGCATCACAGGAGATGTTAAAAATTACATCACGTAACTGCAATAAGATTCTGCTCTGTGAGTGCTGGGAATCTGAACAAACTCGCTGTACAGTGTACATTTATGATGTTCATAGTAAGAGAAGGAATGTTTTTTGCTTTCTAAGTTTTACTAATATGAATAATAACCTTCCTGCTTGCTTACCTAGATTCCCCAGGTTCCTAAAACACAAAGAAAAAACATGTCACTGCCTCCAGCAGGAAGGGATGGGATTCAAAGAGACAAAATAAAACTGCAGAAATATCACAGATTATTGGGAAGACTTTGGAGGTTGTGACTGGCCATAACCTGTTGTGTACATACCATTTCATTCCTGCCTACAACACTTCAAATACTTCTTGGACTCTTCCCTATGTGGTACTGAAAAAAAGGATAAAATAAACAGCATGGAAAGGCCTACATACATACTGCATAGACAGGTGTCAAGGAGTTGTTTTGTTGTTTCCTAGCTTCCTTTTTTTTTTTTTTTTTGCCTCAGAGTGCCAAAAGATATTTAGTCAAATCTTACATATTACAAGGATGTTATGCTCCATTTCATAATAGATACAGCTGAAAAACAAAAGGCTCTGTAGTAAAACTGCACTGAATTGTTAACACTACGTGCTTGCTGTAAAAGAAATGTCAGTGTTTCTAATCCAAGTTCCCACATAACTGTAAGTTTTAAAACCAATCAGTCTGTTGGCTGAAGGCACACAGTGTTTGTAACCTTTAAAGAGGAATGAATAATTCAGTAGGAACTCCGGCAGATATGCCCACACACTGTTGGTAGTGAAGATGGATTGATATGTATTAATTTGCTTTACACAGCACTTGTCCCTAAAAGCTTGGCCAAGGCCACTTCCAAGACTTGCTTGTGCAGCAGAGCCCCTGTCGCCACAGATAGGTATGCACAAACCCAGGGGCAGGCGCACCTCAGAAGCAGTTCTCTGCTGGTACAGTAGCCAAATATCGAATAATAAGACTCGAATCCAGGCCAGGTCTCTCTCGTCAGGACATCAGACCCATGCTGGGGATTTTGCCAGCAACTGATGTCAGAGTTGTCCCCGCCCCCCCAGTCCAGTACAGGTAATCGCTGCAATGCAATGCAGTGTAGGCCTGGCCAAACTTCACAGTGGCCATCACAAGCTCAGAAAGAGTTCATGACAAGCATCAGAGTGATTTGAGCTAATAGACCAGAAAAGGAAATCCTTTTTCCCATTACCACGCATTTCTGTTTTTACAGAAATATAAATTCTGTATAGAAAACATCTTGCTATCTCATACTAATTATTAATGGTTTTGTTCCTGAGTTCTGAAACAGAGAATGAAGAACAACTGGTTAAAGTGTGTCAGAGGGGCCTCTGCACTTCATGGATCATATTTCTATACTACATGGAATGACTCCACATACACATCCCTTTTTTCTCCAATGCCCTTAGCCAGGCTGTAATTTGGCCAGGACAGGACCTTGCCAGAAAGGTAGAGAAGAGGAGTAAGTAGATGCTGCTTGCTACAGGAAGAAGGTTCCTCTGAACCATCCACCCAAGGGGGCTAACTGTAGTTGGAAAAATCTATATTTTTTTCAAGGAGATGCATATCCCTATCTGTTCCCTTATGTATCTTTGTAAAAATGCAATAAGTGTATACTTAGAGTCAGCCCTGTTCCTTTCAAACAGAACAATCCAATATGGAGTTTCAGACAGAGGCCTTCAGAGACAATTAAAGAAGAAATGTGTCGTGATCAGTGGCCCAGAGTTTAGATGGAGGATTATATCTAGCAGTGTCCTCCCTTATTAACTTATTCATCAGTTGACTTGGATGAAGCTTTAGGAAGTTTGCTGATGAAACAAAGCTGGTAGGAGTGGCTGATACCCCAGAGTGCTGTGCAGCCTTCCAGAAGGACCTTGGCAGGCCTGAGGGATTTGGAGAGAGGAACCATCTGAAATTCAACAAAGGCAAAAGCAGGGTCCTGCACTTGGGGAGGAACAATGCCAGGCACCAGTACAGGCTGGAGGCTGACCTGATGGAAAGCAGCTCTGCAGAGAAGGACCTGGGAATCCTGGTGGACAACAAGCTGTCCATGAGGAAGCAGTGTACCCTTGTGGCCAAGAAGGTCAGTGGTATCCTGGAGTGCATTAGGAAGAGCACTGTCACCATTGTGAGGTGATCCCGCCACTCTACTGATCCCTGGTGAGGTCACATCTGCAGTGCTGTGTCCAGTACTCCTCAGTACAAGAGAAACATGGAGCTCCTGGAGCAGGTCCAGTAGAGGGCTGCAAAGATGATTGAGGGACTGGAGCATCTCTCTTATGAGGAAAGGCTGAAGGAGTTGGGCCTGTTCAGCCTCAAGAAGAGACAATTGAGAGGGAACCTCATCAATGTCCATCAGTATCTGAAAGGAGGGTGTCAAGAGGATGGAGCCAGGCTTTTCTTAGTGGTGCCAAGCAATAGGACAAGAGGCAATGGGCAGAAACTGATGCACAGGAATGCCTCATGCACCTGAACATAAGGAAGAACTTCTTTACTGTACAGGTAAAGCACTGGAACAGGTTGCCCAGAGAGGATGCAGAGTCTCCCTAACTGGAGGTATTCAACAGCCATCTGGACAAATCCTGTGCCATGTGCTCTAGGATGAGCCTGCTTGATCAAGGAGGTTTGACCTACTATGGTCCCTTCCAACCTTCCCCCTTTCCTAATTCTGCGAAACACCTGATCAAGAATCCCTTTGTTCCCCCTAAGCCTACTTTTTAAAGTGCACTAAAGCTATTATTACATACGCCTTGTTTTTGAGCTTTTGTGTGGAGTAAATTCACAGTAAGGCTCCTATTTGCCTTCAGCATCGATAACAGACCAGATGACATTCACGCCTCGTAAGGAGGCTGACAGAAGGTACTGTTAGAAGCACTTCTTTTTTTTTTTACACATTAAATGTACCAGCTAAACTTAGATGCTCAGTTATATGACTGAACAGACTCGTAAACACAGTCTGAGGAAAAGGAAAATGGAACTTTCTAGCAGAGGGCCAACTCTCCATCTGGCTGCATCTGATGCTAATCTCAACTATAAATGCATGAAGGGAAAAAAGCAGTTGAAGTGGGAAATAGCATCACTACTGCTACACAGTGTCAAAGAACCCGATCATGAAAAGTGCCAGAAGAGAAAAAATACCAAGGCACACAGCATGGCAGAGCCAGAACACAAGATGGAGTCCTGTACAGAGCAGTTTATGCCAACCATGTCTCTTAACCCTCATGGAAGAGATTTACCAGGGAAGGTGGAAGTGGCTGACACTGTGAACATCCCTCACCTCTGCTCAGCATGGGTCTAAGACACCAAAGCAGGGTAATGAAAAAGAGACTTCTCTCTTACTTTAGTGCTTCCTACCACTTGTAGTAGTAGCAAAAAAAAAATAGTGAGCAACATTTATTTTCTAGGTATAATAAGAACATTCTCATTTTCATTTGTATAGACTAAGGATACGCTGTACATATGTTGTGTGGACACACCCTTAGAGGTCACATCTGTTTAAAAAAAAAAGAGGTTGAGGATATAAATTATTGAGAGAGAAAAAGAGGATGCAAGAAAAGCTCTGTTGTTGTAAATAATGAGTTACACAAATCTGTGAATGTGGAGTCAACAATAAGACCTTCAAATGTCTGAAGAGAACCACATGCCACTTAAAAGCAATGAATAACACAGAATTGGCAGAAGTTACAATGCACACTTCCCCATGAAGGAAATGTACTAATGTTGTATTAATGCTATCTCTTGCTAATACTAGCAGGACAACAATCTCTAGGAGCTGATCGATTTACTTGTGCATAAAACTCCATACATCAGTGCACATGCAATAGCACACTCCATATACTTGAATGCCCAGAGGAATATTACAGTGTGGTTCTTCAACACAGCTGTCTGAACTTCTGGCAGCCCAAATATAAGATTTATCTTGCCCAGTTTAAAACACAGATACAGATTTGGCCAGGACCATAAGAAGAATTCAACAATGGGTTCAAAACAGAGATAGTTGTGTTGGAAAAGAGTGATAAACTTTACCTCATCAACAAATGAACCAAAGCTTAACTTTTCAAAGTGAGCTGAACTAACTGGAACCAAACTTAAAGGAAATCCTTGCGAAAACGTCAAAAGTCTTACCTGTCTCAATAATTTTGCATATTCTGGAAGAGTATAAAACACTAGAGAACTATAGCTGCACTGGCTTAAGAGACCTTTCAGATGATGCATACATAAGCCCACAGAAGCCCTGAGGAACATCTCCATGTAGTGTCACTGTGTGAAATGAGTGGCTGAAAGCTGAACGTGTAATAGGATGAAATATTACTCTCAGCTCAGATTTTCTAAAAAATAGCAATCCATGTGTCCCAAATGTCAGCACTCTGAGAGGTTTAATTGGGAAAAATTGTGAGACATGCATAGCTCTTGTTCTAATTATTTCATCTTTTCTTTTTTTGACTGGTGAAGAAGGGGAGGAGGTAGAACTCAAAAACAAAGCATATGATCATACTGCATCCCAACAGAAAAAAAGGACACTGCACTTCTTGGAAAATGTTGAAGACTTCTGGAGTTTGTAGTGTATTGGAGAAAATAGCTAAAAAATAAATCTAACAAACAACACCACTACCAATGAAAGCCAAACCAGAACCATACCACTATTTAGTAGTAAAGCCAGAAACTGCTCACTAGAAGCAAGGGATACAGAAGCAGAAGTTAGAAGCTGAAATTACTTTAATCCATACCAAAAGCTTTGTAATAAGAATATTACCAGTTTTTAAAATATCCTGAATCAAATGTAGCATTTCCAAATCCAAATCCCAATTAAGTATTTGCTGCAAACATAACTTCTGAAGTGTGGGCTTTCAAAATTTACAAAAGTCAAGAGGCCTAAAGATGTCATCAGATTGCTCTACTTATACCTTTAACTTTACAATAATTGAACTTTTTCATCCGGTTTCCCTAAACTATTTTTAAGTGTGTCACAGGCAGCAAAGTCACCTACCTACTCTGAAGATCAAATCATCTTCAATGGGATTCTCTTTTCTTTTGCCAGTGCTGTACATGCTTGCAGGTCTTTTCACAGCTTTCTGCTTCACATGACCGCTGCCAGGAGATTTAACACGCCTCTTAACCCCTTCAGTGGTAGGGGACACATCTGCTGATCTGACCACTTTAAGTTTGAACGGGCTGCCCTTGATGTGTTGATCGTAAAGTCTCAGAGACAAAGTGAAGTCCCCTTCTTTCTGAACAGTATACAAAAACTCGTAAGTGCCATTTTTGTTGTCAAGTATTTCTCCATCTGCTACGCTCCCATCAGGCGTGCTCAGTTCAGCAGTGAGGTAAGCATTCCCAGATTTACAGAGCTCCCCATCTTTGTCCTTGGTTGTGATGGTGACGGACATGGGCTGTCCAATCACTGTCTGCCTCAGTCCCTCACCTGTGGCAACTGTTTCAGAGGCAACAGCATTGGTGGTTAAAATAGTACCCAGATTGTGAATGGACTTCTTGAGGCCTTCTGTTTCCACTATGAAGTCCAACTGATCATTTTCACGGGGCTGCAGTGGGAAGTCCCGCTCGGCCAGTTCGTTCAGCTTGTCACTCATTTGCTTCTTCACCAGCAGCACTTCGGTTTCAGTGCCATGGTTGAGGGCCTGGGCTGTGAAGTTGCTGCAACTTTTAATGCTTTCTTGTCCTTCAAGTAAGGTGTCCAGCTGCGTCTGGAGGACCTGTGTGCATTACCAAGTACCAGATTAGCATTATGTTACAAGAACTGTCCTATGAAGATGCATCATACTTTGTATCTGAAGGCCTTTGTAGAACACAAATTCATAGTGCATTATTTTAGAGTTTAATTTAAATTTCTGTTTTAGAAAAAGTACCCCGTGATCCCCAACATATATTTAAAATATAATGCTGCAATACAAAAAAATGTACCCTGGTTTGGATCTTCAGTGCTTCACAGATCAACTGTCATACTAGGTTGAACTATTGCCCCATCTGTCTTGTTTTTGTTTGTTTGTGGTTTTTTTGTTTTGGTTTGGTTTTTTTTGTTTTGTTTTGTTTTGTTTTAATTTTATTTTATTATTACTATTTTTATTTTTTTAAGAAAAAGAAACCAACCCAAACAAGCTTGAATCCTGCTCCATCTAAGTCTCAGCAGTCACAGTTAATGAGATGGTTGTAGACAACTGAGCTATGTGCACAGAGGCAGAGATATTTTGGATTCATCAGGCCCATTAACAAGAGAGGCTGAAAGAAATTTCTTGAAACCATTTCTTCAGAGCCGAAGGAAACTGTGGGTTACTCCTCTACGGAGATGGACAGGAAGGCAATCTCAAGACCTATATGTACATCCATCCTGAGGAAAAGTGTGACTCCTTGACTAAATAAAATTCTCCCCAGCTGAAGCAGGGAAGTTGATTCCCTAGTTCCAGCAGGCAGGAAAGCAAAACAAATAGACTGGGTTGTGGATATTGCAAAGAGTTGGATTGAGTAGCCTGAAATTTTGGTGGGCAGCAAGTAGTTACTCTATATTTAAGACTACGAAAGAGCCTCTTTTATAGGGGCAGTTCTGGTCCTCAGTCTAAAATCCTTAAAACAGTATTGACCTCAAAATTGTTAGATGTGGGCTGGGAACAAGGATAACCTTTTTTTTTAAAACCATTTTTGCAATGATTTGGAAAAAGGATCCCTGAATTATAACAACCTAGCAGAAAAATTCCTGGAAAATTCAGGAAACATTCAGGAAAATGTTCCAGCTGCCCCCCCACACTCTCCACTGATAAAATACTCTAACTAAAGTACCCAGTCACACACATGCTATGTTTTTCCTAAAGAGAACTAGGGCACAGACATCACTGTGCATTAGAGAAGTTATTTTGTTGACCATCACTGTAAAGGAAATATTTTTGAAACATTTCAATTGATTTTAAAGTAAACTTAGAGACTGGATGTATTTATTGTTATGAAATACTTTTCCCTTGCTGAGACACACTATGCAATGATACTGCATGCTAAGGGCACTTTTTTCTAAGTTTTACAAAGCTTTCAGCTTTTCATCCACTGGAGAAAATCCAGGGTCATGTGTTACTGATATGGAAAAGTGATAACAACACAAAACGTTTGGCAATCAGAATGAACAAATGTCAAGACTACACTGAAATTTAAAGTTATCTGTTTTTCTAGGCATCCATAAACCTCTCAGGATTCAATACAAGGCATTTCTAATCTGCTTTGTCTTTATTCAAGGACATAAGTAGTTAAAGAGAGAGCATAGATAATAATTTCCCAATACGACAAAACCCCGTATGCTTGGGATAAGAAACCACAAACTTATGAGAAAGACAACTTGCAGCTATGTTTTAAAACCAGTATTTTCTCAAGATAGTTTTCTTTCATTACAAAGATGGAAAATATTAAATCCTAAAGTAAATATTATTTCAAATGTACTTTGAGTATTTTACATGAGGCCTCTTTTAGTCCATTGGACAACTGAAACTGTATTGCCAACTTTCTTTTCGTAAAGTACCGATCTTTCATTTTTCATTTTTGAAAAGTATAATCAGAATAACTGAAGATTTGGGTTTGAATTATTTTGCAGGACTACTATTAATTCAAAACTTAAGTCCAATTTCAACTGCTTTTTTAAAATATAAAGAGGGGAGATGCCTCTTTTACTCCTCATGTGCAGCTTTGCAAAAACTCGATTCTCTAATGCTCAAAGTAGTTACTAAAATATTTTAAATTCCTTTCAACAACAATTAGATAATTTAACATCATATTCTATCTAGTGTAAACTTTGTACACACCCAACGTGTATTTGTTTGCTAAGAAAGTACGTTTGTGTGGTATCACGGATACATTTAGATGGACCTGGGATCTGAGTCCAAATTACTGATGTTGAAACTTCTCAGCTGCTGCTTAGCTCTGGACATGGCTAACTTCTGTGCCCCAATGGTTTTGGGCTCCCTCTGTTTCTAAAAGTACACATTTTGTGCACATGTTAGAATTCCTCCATTTTCACAGGTTTAGCAGTTCAGTACCTCCCTAATGATCAAGCCTGTTCCAGATCCAGGAATGCAACATTCCTCCACTTCAGACATCTGGAGATGGTCAAGCTGCTCAGTAATGGCAGAGAGTAACCAAAGATGCCAATACTATCAGGCACTCTTGAAACTCCAGTTGTTGATGCTATTTTCTTTTCAAGACTACTTCGAGGGAAAAAATCTTTCTATCATATAAAACAGACAACTGATGCCCAGGAAGACAAGGACTAAATAGCTTTAAAAAGTAGGTGCCTGTTTAGTGTGTTGGCCATTTTAGATCCTCCTCACATACCATTCCCAAAGGGCTATCTGCCCAGGCAAGGTCTGTATTCCATTTATAAGGCTGAGCACCAACAAGCGAGGTTCTTCAGCACTTGATTTCCCGAAAATGTTATTCTCTGGATCTCAGACACAATTTGTCAAAGTGGCGTCCTGCATCATTTGTAAAAACTGGATGATTAAATTAACAGCTTTTCATTGAAATAAAACATGCATCTTACTTTGTGTTTAAGGCCATAATTCACTTCCAGTTCCATGAGCAGCACGCTCTTTCGCACATTTAAAGTCTTCTGGAGTTCATCAAAAGTGGAATGAATGTCATCTACAATGCTAGCCTTTTGGTTGGTTAACTGGTGTATGATTTCAGATATAAAATGAAGTGCTGAGTCGATCTCTGGAAGCCTGAGGGAGGAATTAAATTACAAAGATTGCTGTTTCAAAAGTCATTAAACATTGGCCCTTGCCCTGGTATCTTTTGATGAAACTCTCTAATCAGCAGGCAGTCTTTAAACTCAAGCCATTTTCCAGAAGTAAGTTCATTTCTTTTATAACCACATAGTGGGTCTGGTCTCATAAAACAAGGCTAAGCCACAGCCCTCCCTTATGCAAATCCATTAGACTTTAGGCATTACCAACAATGAGGTCTTGGATCCTCCATCCTTTATGCTATATGATATCTACTCCAGAAGATATAACTAGATCTACCTCACTTTTTCATGGTTTTTTTAGCCTTTTTGGTACCATAGTCTTTTTAGCACCTAGTATTGTTTATTTAGCTATCATTAAATTCATGACTGGATAGTAGTTTTCACTTTAACATTTTATGCCCCTTCTTTGGAGGACACTTGCATTTCTAATGGCTTCTGTTTTGTAAAAGACACATAGGAATCTTTTGCTCTTTTCTCTAACATCACACTCAATGGATTTTTTTTTTCATGCTAGCCTCACTATGGCACCAGCACACTAAAACATCTACCCAAGTTAACGCAGGAAGCCAGTGACAGAACTGAAAATGGAAAAAAGTCAGTGGAGTCTCCCTACCTTTTATTGACAGCATCCAACTGGACTTGGAGGGAAGCCTTGTGTTGCTCCACCACATCCTTGAGTGGTACCGTGGGATGCTCTGCGTGTTCTCCCTCTGTGCACTCCCGGCACATAGCTGTCTCACAGGACTGGCAGTAAAACTCCATCACCTGGAAAAGTGCACAGCTCTACATTCAAACGTGGCAGCAGTAACACAATCCAAAGCATATCTTACTGGGTCTTGAACTCATGTTATTATCCAACCTCTGAGACAAAGCTTCTCTTTTTTTAGACACCAATAATTAAACGCCTAAAAGATGGTTGTTATCCTTACATATCTCATATCAAAATGCTGGGTTAAATGCATTTTATTCTATCAGAACAGCAGCCTGTGAACAATGCTGGACTTCAGTGCTGGTCCTAACATCATCTTTACACTGCGTAATAATAAGTCTTGGTGTCTGTCTTAAGTACTCTGTGAAACAACTCAAAAAACCAGGGCATTCAAGTACCCTTACTAACTTGATCCTTAGTCTTCCCTGAGGTTCTGCCAAAGAAAGTGTAAACTTAGGCTATTTTTTGTAACAGAGCCACTGGTGGAACATAAACTTGATGGGGCTCACCAAACAGCAGGTTTATTTGCTAGAGGAAAGCACCCTGCTTGAACCAACCTGCTGCAGGGGAAAATCTCCATATCCCTTACTAATCCTTTAAAACCATCAAAACCTCATATCTCAGATTATAATAGGAATGCTGATCTGCACTTGAAAGAGGAGGAGATCATTTCAACCTCTTAAGTTCTCAGTAAGATGTTGTCTAGAGATAAAAATAGATCTTTACATGTAATAGATACCCCAAATTCTGAATATATTCATGAAGGGAAAGAGAGAAGTGCTGTGCCCAAAATCATAAGATAGTCAAAATAATGCACATATATGCAAATACAGCATGAGACTTCCTTTTACAGCTAGGAAGTCCTTGGGCACAAAGCATTTTAGGCTTATTAAAAGGATATAAAGAAGCTCATAGTATATGCTTCAAAGCCAAGACCTTGGCAGCTCTTTTGCATTCAGAACACAGCATCAGAATCTTGAATAAATTCGGCTGATGCTCTTCTGGCACTCAGACATCTCACACAAGAGGGTTGTGCTGTAGATGTTGGATGACAGTGAGATGGTTGTGTAGAATCAGCTGTTTGCAGGTGAGAAGAGGAAACTGTAACAGTACCATGCAAAGTAGCTGGCTGCTCCAAGGCATCTTGAGAATTAAGGAGGGGGAAGCAAGAACCATGATTTGCACGTGGCTATTAGCATTAATTGGGATTTGCCTCTGATAAGCTCCTTTTGGTCTTATTCCCATTCTTCCCTCTTATCTCAATTCACAAGATATGGGATTCACAGGCAATGAGGGTTTAGTCAATTTGTCGGCCATTTGTGTAAGCCCCTTCAGAGAAAAGTTAGAAATTGCTCCAAATAACTTGTGTAACATCAAATATATCAGCAAGGAGAAAAAGAAAAAGGAGACCTTTTAAACAATTACAATCCTCATCAACACTACTCCAGTCATTGTGAATTTAGCAGTTTCATGGTAATAGATCCCCCGAGGCCTGATAGTTACTTTGGTAGGCACTATGATGTGATACGTTCTTACAGTGCATAGAGAAAATTAGTTAAGCAGAGTTTAGGATTTAAATTCTTTTCGAAGGCTTCAAAAACTTGCAAGTAGAAACAATCAAAAGGAAGAATATTTTATTAGGAAACTCTGAAGTCTTTTTATACAGCAAAAAAAATTTCATTTATTTTGAATGAGTGCCCAATTGTGTTCATCTTTCTGACTCCTCATAATTTAATGCTTAGGCTCAGGATATTTTAACAAGCCCTTTATTTATTCAATATTTTTATCTTTGGATACAGTGATTAGTATCATTTAATATTTCTGTTTCTTACCCCCCATAATAAACATAATTATATTTGCAGCCACATATATGACGAAGAAAGCATTTCATTAGCATATTAAAGTTTATCCTAAACAACTTTCTTCCTCTTTATTCATGCACCAGAGAAACACATACGGTAATACAGTAAACCCAATGGTAATAGCAAGGAGACCACAAAGACCTAATGTGTATGTCTGCACAGAAATTGTTGTCACATTCAAAATGTTTTGAGAGAGACAGTTTTCATTTCCCACTAAAATTTTTTGATTGTGCCACAGCTGAAGGAGAAGCAAAACCTAATATTAATACAATTCAGGCTTCAAGTGTCTAGATAAGCTCATTTGCTAAGATTTTTTTCTAGCATTTGTTAATCTGGTAAGACTAATGTCTAACTACATACAGACATGTATTGTTGCCTTTTCATCTCTCCCCTCCATGCCCAACATGGGCATCACAATTTCTGACATTCCCAGAAAGCTTTTCATTATAACAGGTTTGCTTTACAAAATATCTCAGAAAATGACATTTGCCTGAACCTCTCCTTTCCAAACTGAAGAGATCCCTTGGGCAGGATATACTATGGCATCCAACACCAGCTTCAGCTGTATTTCCACTGAATTTAATGAGAACATTCCCATCAGCTGTAAAGACATATGACATAATACCCACTGGTTCTGAAATCCCATCCACTAAATCCCACCATAAACCAGACCAGCATATTTCAGCACAATGATGTAATTGGGGACCGATGAGGATCTTCACTACAGTAATTAAACTGAATTTACAGAAACTTTCAAATTTGCATAATCAAGGATGCAAGTACTTCTGAACACGAAGCCAAGACATGCTAATTCCAGCCCTTCAAAGTTCAGGTCTTGAGGAAAAGGCTCTCACCAACCACAAGCCCCTCTTCTCTAAAATCACACTGCTTATCCTCTGCTTTTTATTTGTTTGAATTAAAAGAACAGCCTAGAAAAAAAGGCTTGGTGCTGTGACCGCTTCCCTGGGGAACCTGTTCCAGCGCCCAGCTACCCTCTGGATGAAGAACCAGTTCCTAATAGCTAACCTACTTGCCATGCAGTGCCCTCACATTCTGTACCTATGAGGCCAGCAAAATCCCAGTTCCTCAGCGAGGCCTAAGGTGCCCAGCACCTTGACCTGTGCACCCTGCCCTTCAGCCAGACCCACCTGGCCAGCCTCAAGCAGCTCTCACCAAAGCTTACCCCAGCTTCTCCCATCACAAGAACTAATATGTGCATTTTAGCTTTTCATTTCCTAGTTCCACAAAACTTTAAATTGGAGTAATCCTCAGCCTATCCCCAGCTCCTATCTCTCAGATACTTACTGAAGCGAGAAGATATTCCCATCACACACTATTAGCATCCTAAAAGGCATGCTTTGTTTCAAGACAAGCCTGGTCAGTTTGGTTTAGAGGACTTACAAATCCCCTTTTCCCTAGAAAGGAGTTCTCAGATAGGTATAAGTTGGCATATTTTTAATTGTAGGCAAACCATTTCTTTCAAAGCGCACCTGAAGAATAATCAGCTGATAATTTAAAATGCAAAACAAGTAATACCTTCATTTTGATTTTTCTTCTGCATTTCACAATCAGATGGCTCCTATCACAGTGGCTATGTCAGAAAAGAACTATGATTCACTTTAAAGAGAGGAAATAGACTGCAAATAAAACCCAGGAACTTATTAATCAGTAACCACTACACAAACATAGGTATAGCACACATTAAAAAAGTTACACCAGTTATCCATTAACCAGAGTGTACAGCAAATCAGCTCTACAAGTCCACCTGATTCCCAAAGGTCAGCAAAGGAGAGGAAACTGAGCTATTCCTGTGTTACAGTAATCATTACCTATCAGCTGAATTGTTCCTACACAACTGATATAACTACACTGAGTATCAAAAAAAAACAGTCCCTGGAAAGTTGTCTTAAACTACTGGTACATATTTCTCGGCTTGCTCAGAAGCACAGCAGTCAGTATGCAACACAGCATTGCTGAGCTTTGTAATGTGGTTTACTTTTATGTTTGCATAAGCCTGGCTACAAATCAGGAGCTCATATGCCTATCATGAAGTCACACAGGTTAACACTGAAAGTTGTGAAGTAAGCAGAGTTAGAGCTGTTCTTGCATCAGTCTGTGAATACTAACTCAGTAGGGGGTACTTGCCACTGAATTCACTGATACGATTTGAGGATGTATGTGGGGACATGCTTGGTTAAAAGAGTAGGTGGAGGTAAAAAAAGGCAGCCTCAAAAGGCTAATATGTGAGATGCACAAAACACTGCAGATAAACAGCAGCTCTCTGTTACTAGCCTGTGCTGACCCAAAGCATCCTAAGCTAGAGATCACTTTTATTTGGCTCCCTGATAATGTATGTTCAATATCTTTTGGTACTGCCTAAGTGTGCAGGTGAGTTAAGTTTATAAGTTCTCTGTCACATATTGTCTAAACAAACACACAGGTCCCCACAGAAATATCTGATGCTACAAACGAGAGCTAGGGAAACCCAACCTAAAGAGGTTAAGGCACAAGGTTCAGTGCTTGCAGGACAACAGCTTTGACCAAATGTGCTAAAAGACAGAATCATCCCAGGTGATTGGTAGGATGAACTAATATCCTGACTACTTCAAGATGCTCCACTAAGAGCATTTGTGTTAATTTGAAAAATCACTTGTCTTTTGTTGACATACCATAAAATCGAAGAATCAGTGGCACTCCACTTCCCCTGCTATCTTTTTAGAACAAAACATCCATGAAACCCAGACAAATCAGCACATATCACAGGAGATCATCTCACTCACATTTCCATCATGATTGGGGCAGGAGAGTGGTTTGCCTGCAGCAACAGCAGTGACAGTCTCCAAGATGGAGGACTCCTCAATGCTGTTGTCCGGCGTTCGTTGCAGGACATCCATCAGGTTGGTAATGAAGAAGTTGTTCTGGAGTGCAGAAACCCCTTTCTCTGGCAGAATGGAGGTCTGGCGGCACACGGGGCAAGAAAGGGTTAAGCTATGGGCTGGAATGTAATTCTGTAAACACCTATGGGGAAGGGAGGTGGAAGGGGAGAGAAAGAAAAAGTATCATCAGAGAGGAAAAAACCCACTTCCTTCAGTTAAAGAACTAGTTCAAAATAGTGCTACCCCTAATTATAAAAGGAAAGATAGATCAACAGGCTTCAGAAGTGGTTATGGGGAATATTTTTTTTTTCCTTTAAATCTCTTTTCCTCTGCCACATGAAATAAAGTTCAATAAGCTGATATCATTTCAAAAGTTATAAGCCTTTTTTAGAGATTTTTGTGCTGTTGATTGATGCTTCCAGACATCTATGGCATCCTGCTCACAAGATAGTAAAACTTATAAACTATCAGATACAGTCTGAAGAAGACTGTCTGATGAAGACATGAAGTTGCATCAAGTATTTGAGCCTGTGTCTTTAACTGACTAACCAGTGTTTGACCCTCGTCTTTTCAACAGAATCTCCTTTATTAACTTGTATTTGTGGGTTTAGTATTTCAGAGGTAAAACATAGTCCCAATGAAACCAAGGGACATTTTTTTCATTTATTTCAATTAGGAAAGTTATTTGGCAGCTAGCCAGAACCAACAGAGCTTTCTTTACTACATAGGGAAGTACATTCTAGGTTATCACTGTTTATGTTAAGAGGAGTTTTGGAGGAGACTTTTGTTTGTGTTTGATTTGGGGGAGGCAGGGCTGGTGTTGGGATTTTTTTTTGAAAAAATAAATTTCACAGAATATAAATCTGAACACAAAAGTTCTGTGATCAACGATATGCATCTGATTGGCCCAGGTGACAATTAATGCCACTTTGGGCCTTGAAAATGAACTTAACACCTGCTGGGCATGCAACACATAGTTGCAATATACTCTATTCAGTCCTATAAGCAGAGGAAGCTTTGCGGAATGCAGTTTTTAAGGGAAGGAGTGCTACACAAGATTTCTCATGAGATGCCACCTGAGAAAGTGTGACCTCACACAGCTCCACAGCTCTTAACCATTTCCAAGGGCTTCAGTTGCACCACTCTTCATCCTCCCTTGGCAGCTCTCCTCCTGGCCCCCTAGTAAGGGTTCTCTGAAAGGAGAGCTTAGGCTTTGCACAGCAGCAGTACACTGGAAGAGTTCTTCCAGCGCCTCTCTCCATAACCAGATCAACATAAGAGGATTACGGTGAAAACCAGAAGCTGACCTTAGGTTTCACACATTAACTGAAGTCATAAAACTTAACGCATGATGGTGAAAATCTTGCCTCCACTGACTTCGGCAAGAGTTTCACTGCTGCCTTCTGTAATGCCTGGATATCCTACTCTTCTACAAAAGACCAGTTCATCCCACACGCTCAGATATCCACAATTTTTCTTGCACCCTGAGCAAAGTTAGATATTCACACCACAATTCTAACTAAGAGGTGGAAATCTCCTAAATCAAATAAGTGTTCATACCACATATCATTTATTAAAATTCTCCTGCCATTCAAGATGTAATCCAAAGAGCTGAATCCTATCATCAGATAAAGAACTCTAACCACTAATTCTTCAGATAACTTTTCTACAGATGCTGTATTTTCCCCACCATTTGATGGATAATATAACATTGAAGTATCATTATGCATATTCAGTTCATTCAGCTGAACACAGTAAAAGGCAGGTTGCTGTTTTATCACATCGTTTTTCATAGAGTTTTTCCATTTCAGTCAATCAAGCTGCAGAATAATGAAGACATTTAATCACAGGTTATTAATAATGTATATATCATGTCTAAGGCTTGGACATTAAAGGATGGGATAATTATTTTCTCGGCTTAGTAAATCAACAAAGAACGTTCTTTATTGTTTCCAATTATAAGCTAATCGGGATAAATATGAGACCATTAACTTGAGGTCCGAATTCTGGCTGTCATCACCTTTCACATTGTTGTAACTGTATTCATTAGTTTAATTGGATTTACTTTTTGTTTACTCTTGCATAAAAGGAACGTATTCCAAATATTTCACTGCTGTCTCTTCTTCCTGCCTGACGCAAATTTCTTTTTCTACAGCCCTGCCTCTCCAGCCTTCCCAGACTTTATCATGCCTTAACACGTCCTTTACAAGTAAAGAGAAAAGCCTCCATCCACTAAAGGATGCTTTGTTCCATGCTTGCTGCACAACACAAATACCAAGTTACCACATGAGGAAAGGACTTACCTCTCACAGAAAGTATGCAGGCAGGGAAGTACTTTGGGGTTCTTGTAGCGGTCCAGGCATATGCTGCAAATCAGAAACTGCTTGTCAATCTGACGGACCACAGGACTTGGGATGTTGGAGCCTTCACTGGCCATCCTAGACCACTGACATATGGGTCCTGTTCCCTTCTACCCGGCACACTGCTGGATTGGAGTGGGGAAAAGAAGAGAAGAAGAAGAATGGCTTATAAACTCCATGAAATAAAAAAAAATCAATTACCAATTCCCTTATGTTTCATCCTTATGCAGGAATTCGTATTTCTATATAAAACCAAAACAGTGAAAAATTAAACTTCTAAAAGTGTTTATCACTGATGAGAGTCTGGGAAACAGTCTGCCAAGTCTACACCACCTCTGTGTGAGAAGATATAGTGAAAGGCATGCTGCCTCCGGACTCAAAAGAGTTATGGGGATTTCTGGTTTTAAAGAAATCCCACGATAAAAACGTTCTTGCATCAGTAGGTTCAGTCAGTGCTAACAAACACTGGATTTCTTACATCTACAGTACTGCTGGAAAAATGCTGAAACTGGAACAGCACCAGCCAGTCAAATGGCTGCCTCACAGCTCGAAAATGGTTCACCTAACAATTTTTTTCACTTATCAGTGCTGGTATTGTTAAAAATATGATAGATTTGGACTCCTAGAAGCCCCCAAGAAGGAAGCTCCAGAACCAGCCAGCCCCTGGAAAGGGAATGCTCAAATTCTGCATCAGCAACAAGGGAGAGAGAGATGAAACTAAAATCTTCACAATAAAAGAAACAAGGCAAAGAAGAGGCAACTGATAGCTGCTGAGAATAATCAAAGTTAGGGTGAACGACACATGAAGAACATCCAAATTATAAATGCAAGAAAAATGGCATTATAGGCAGAATCTGTAGTAAGAATCATGTTTCTAGGACTAAAGATTCTTCATAGCCTGGCATAAAAAACATGAAATAAAAGGGTAAGGAAAAAGTCTACTGACTGACAGAATTAAGACTGCGGAATAAAGGGACGCCAGCAGGCTTGGAACACCTCCTGTCCTGGCACAAGGCACCAGAGAGAAAAACTTAATTTCTTTTCAGCTGTAGGTACAGATTATAGCCAACAGAATTAATATGTGGAAAGAGAAGACAGGAGGAAAAGGAAGGAAACAGCCTCAGAGAACTGCCTGCTAAAATAGTTTAGGAAAACCTGGCGTGCAGAGGCCCTGGCAGGGTGGCCCAGCTAGAATTCCTCTCCATCCAGTGCGCTGAGTGCTGGGAGGCACAGGCTCACTCCCCTGGGAACTGATCACAGCGACTCTGTCACAGCATCGAGTTCTGACAGTCCTCCCGCACCCACAGCTGACAGAGGCTGCTCTTCTTCGTGAGCAGCAAGCCCAGCTTGGGCTTCTTCACTTCAGGTACACTCCTGAGGGTCTGACTTCTTCCCTAAACAATTTCTACCATTTTTAGGCACCCATTTCAGGCAATTTGAGATCTGGCTTGAGGGCAGCTCGGGCTTTCCAAGACAGAAATAACAAGCCTTCTGCCTCCATGCTGATCATGCTCATTCAAAGGTCACTCAATTCCACAATGATTTGCATGACCTGCGTAGCATTTTGTCATCAGTTTTACATCAGATCTTCTTCCTGCGCTTGAATGCATGGCACACAGTAATCTGTCAGAGATGAAACCATGCTGTTCTTTCTGAGCTGTGTGCTTTAGCCATACTGGTATGGTTTACTTACTTCATTGAGCAAATAGCTATTTCTAGCATAATAACAGTGATTATGGATCGTGCTATAGTGATTTTCCTGATAAGAGGTTCCTGGGTCATTGCTACTATGTTAGTAAATACAGCAGCATAAAGTTATTTACAACCCAGCAGTGGTAACTGACATTTAATTCAATGGAAAACACTTATGGCAGGTCCTTTTGTTTCCTTTTTTTTCCCCAAGAAAGGGGAAACTGCAATAGTAAAAATTATTTTAATATTCATAAAACATGAGTTCATGACCCAAAAATGCACGATTTCAGGATTGATAATATTTTCATGGTTTTTTTAATAATTTTTTATCTTTTTTTAAAATTTCTTTCCCCATAGTAAGATAAAATGTGAGTATTACATAAACCCAAAATAATTTTTGCTATTTAAATGCCATAAATCACACACAATAAACCTTAGGAGATCAATTAGGAAACCATGTTACAAGCTTGAGCTAAAGATGGCTTTACAAGGCGTGGAACCAAAATATATAGCTTTTACAAACGGAGTAGAAAGAGCAGACAATCAAACACACATTAACATATTCATACACTTGGCAGTGTAACATGCAGAACATCAGTGATGTGTTTCAAAAGAAAATTCATTTCACCACTTACACAGCTGTGTTTGCCTCCCACTTTCCCTCCCCAAATATTAGGGGCAGCGACCGAAACAAAGCAGGGAAGATAATCAGAAACAGAACGATTTCTTATCAAAAGCACAATTTCCAAATTGGACACGCAAATGGTATAATTTTTTTGCTGTAGACTGAATACAGACTACTGGGAAAAAAACTGTACTTAAGATATGAAAGAATAGGTCTCCAGTGAATACTGCCTGTCATTTAACAGAAGAAAGTTCTTTGGCAACCAGGTATTTTTGCTTATCAAGTAGAGCTACACCAGCAAATAGGGCTTACACAAGAAAAATTTCTGCTGCCTGAAAAAATTAATATTGACTTAATCTGATCTTCATCTTAGTTTTTTACATTCCCCCAATCTCACTGCATTATCAAGTAATTCTTAGCTCATGACAGCCACTTTATTTTTCAAATATTCATGCTTTAAGCTTTGTCAATGAAAGAAACCATTAAAGACTCAGAAACAAAGTGCTTTTAATATTCTGTGTTTTGTTTCAAATGCAGATTTCAAATGATTGTCATTTATTCACTGTGTTCACATAAATCAGGCTTAAAACATGCACTTGGAAAAAGAATTTCATCAGTACATTAGTGGTTTTTGCCATTACCTGGTAGAACTTCTTACTCAAATGGTTCATTTTTAAAAATTTTTGAGCATGGGATTTGCAGGATTCTGCAGCTTCTCTGAGCCAACTCCACCTTTGATGCAATTTTGATGATGTAGTTATGAGAAAGATGATTTTGCGTATTTACTCAATGAAAGCAACTGTACAATCAGACTATTTGAGGAAAAGCTGGACATTTTGGACAATGCCTTTGAATTTCGCCGCAGTATTTTTTCTGATTTACTGCTATGCTTGCAGCAGTTCCTCACAATAGCAGCCTAAGTTTCAGATGTATTAGCAGTGGGAGATTTTGCAAAGGAACACTAGTTTTACAAGAAAAATGTTCTTTTTTCTAGCAGCATCTTCTGAGTTGAGAAACTGCTGCTTTTCAGGGGTTCATTACGTCTCACAATCTAATAAAGAGTAGCTGAAGCACGAGCTTTGAAAACAAGTGTATGAATTCTCAATATAGTTACACTTGATAATTTAAACATGCAAAGCCAAAGGTTTATAAAACGTTGCACCAAACCTCCCACCCATTTATCTACAAGACACACACATTCAAAACCCAGTTCAGGTTTGCTAACTCAAGTGCAGGAAATGTACCCCTTTGTCATTCCTACGAGGTTCAAGGATTGCTATCTTCCCAGCCACCCCAAAAACAACATTGTTCTTTTTCCTCCTGCTTGGAGATATGACTATCAGTTTTCATTCAAAACACACTATACAGCAAAGAAAGGAGAACACAATGGCTCTCTAGGCAAGTGCAAATCCTTGCCCCGCTATGCATGCACGCTTTCAGGGTGCGGCCCCACCCATATGAAAGGAACTTCCTCTAGCATTAGAAAAGGGTGAAAAGGAAAAAAAAAAACACAAATAACAGTCGCAGAATAGTTGTTTCAGGTAGGTAGAAACCCATAATAATGAAAGTGCACCCTTTCTACAGGTATCTTCAAATGAGCTCTGGAATTCACGAAGAGATATCAAATCCTGTATTAGTTTCCATGGCCTGGCCAAAAAAAAGACAGTGGGGAAACTTACAACTGTTCAGTTCTCAGGATTTTATTCCTGAAAGAGTAGAATTCTGTGTTGCTGATACGCTGCTATCACTGAAATCCACCCAGCCAGAGCTGCAACTAGCCTGAAAGTACAGCCTGAGGAGAACAAATCGCTTGCAGCTTGTTCATCCTCTTCTTATCAATGGTGTTCACAACCCAGAGGGTCTATTCATGTATTATGAATGAATAGGTTTCCAATAGCAACGTTTCCAAAGGAACAGTTAGGCCTCGAGAGCTGTAAGAAAGGGTGGGGAACCTCAATAATGTTGCTTCAAGGTCCGGGGGAGCTGGGGCTTTAAAGTCCTTAAAACAGATAGATCACCTGTCCACAGTCTTTAGGAATAAACAGATTCAAGACATTTCTAGCAGCAGCCCCAAAATTAGCCAATACAGAACACACTGAGCAAATTAATAATCATAACCACCAAACAGTCCACTTGTGCAAAAGGCTTGATAAGCTAAATTTGCATTCCTCTCTCTCCCACTCTTGCAATCAGCTTAGTGCCTTGTTTAAAACACAGCAACCCTCTTCATTCTTACAGCATGCAGAAGCACAGTGAACGATCAGGGGCCAAAACAGAAGGAACAACCCAGCAGCAGCCACCAGGAATAACACTGAGCAAACTTGAGCATTTCAGACCTACCCATCTTTGTAGAAAAATAGCTTTATCAGTGCAGTGCTGAGGATAAAATCCTTGCAGGGACGGAGCTGCAGTTCCGCAGTAATCCAAACGAACAAACCATCATCTGTTAATATTTCAAGCCTCACGCGTAAAACTGTTTAAGAATCCCTATCACAGCATAGTCATTATTAGATGCACAACAGATTTTGTGCTCTAAGGAATGACGCTCCATTCCACGAAGAGGACAGGTGGAAAGAAAAATGGAAGAATAAGAGGAGGCCCAGTGAAGTCGTCATGAATTTTTTTTTTCCCCCTGGGTCATTTACAAGTGGGAGACCCCTTCAGGATTCAAACCAATCAATCTTTATTTAGCACATCTTTTTCTCACTCAGCCTGTGTAGAAAGACTGCAGCAAATGGTGCAAGGGATTGTGGGATGGGGATGCAGCAGAGAGCTGCAACCAGATTCGCTGGGTTATTTTTTTTTCCT